GGTTTCAACAGCCTATCCCTTGGCACCGTCCGCCAAATCGCGGGGAATAAATAGGCGGCGTGTTTGGATCCTGCTCGATGAGCCGGCGAATGGCTTCTTCGGTTTTAAGCGCAGCGTCAGAATCGGGATATATACCCATTTGACGAGACGAGTCTCTAAAGGGCGACGGGGAATAGTGTCGAGGCTTGAAGTGCATAGAAGCGAACGCTACTTTTGGAGGGGACGTCTGCCGCACAAAAGAAGAAGGGAAAAGAAAAGGGGAGGGAAACTGGCCTCTGCGTCTCGCCCGACAGGCATTTATGGTAAGTGCCGACTAACATGCAATTTGCGTTTTATATCTAGCGCGATGATCGTATGCGACCTAGTCATTGTAGCTCCTTCCTGTTGATTGCGAGTTATGGGGGATTGCCGTTTCTTGCTCGGCTTCTAATCCTTCAACTTGTGGGGAGTGAAGGCTTGCTCCAAGGTCGAGACTACTGCGGCAAAGGAGGCCATAGTGTCGATTGTGAATGCTTGTCTGTGTGCGAGTCAGCATGCTGTCATAATTGAAGGGAAGCTGCATAGCCTATTGCTGTACCTCTCCTGGTCTGCAGGAATGTAGACTCTGGAGTGCGGCTATGAATGGAAGCGAGCAATGGAGAGAAGGAAAGCTAGGTTGTTAGTAGCAAGTTTAGGTCTTGGCGAGTGTTTTAATAGTACAGTAGCTGTTTAAGCTGCGGAGGGATGGCTTAAGAATGGGGCCGATGTAAAACGTGAGGTAAGCATGTTCGTACCTACCGTAGATATGCACGTTACGTCGGCTTTCGGCCGATGGCGCCATATCGGAATACTAGCATGCAGTTAAGTTCTCATGGAGTGCAACCGCCATCATTTCTCGTTTTCGTTCCTTTAGGCTGCCTGTCCAGACTGCTCTGCAAAGAAGCCGCAGATGCAGGACCACTTCGCTACGATATTGGCATGGTAGGTTGCATCAAGAGGTGATACTTTAGCGATTAATCGGGCCGTAAGAGGACTGAAGCGACCCCAATGCTATTGCTCATCTGATGCAGTGCATCCAGTCCCCAGCTTGGCTGCTAACCAAACCGGAAGTACTGTTCAAAAATATTTGTCCTAACTCCCCCACCCTATATCCGAGCCACCCCCGCATCCGAGCCACCATCACCACCACCATCACTACCACTATCACCACTTATTTCACCATCTCTGCCGCCCACCTATATGCAACTTTCGGCCTCGCTGGGTAATTCGGATGCCCTAGATTCATCCGGACTATCTATATTGCCGGGATCCGGACTTCGGGCCCGGATTATATCCTCTATAGTAGCAAAGGTGCTGTTAGGAGATAATTGGACCCTTTTCCTCTTGCGTGACCGTATATCATTTAACTGGGCCTGTAATGAGTTGACCTGCCTTTCTAGAAGGGCTGCTCTAGATGCCTGCTCATCATAGCCCTTTTGCAGCTTTCTAGATAGGTGGCGAATAGTATGGGTATCTAACTCATCCTTGCCCAACTGGATTAACTGGTGTAATTGATGCCGTAGATCGGCAGATCGACGAGGCGTTGACCATGGGATGATGGATTCGGCTTCATCCCACTGTTGGCTACCAGTCTGCTGGCTAGGCTGGCTCTGTTGGGCCCTAGTTACCATTGAGTTAGATAGGGGGCGTCTTACACATATAGGCCATAATCCAGATGACCTCTAGCTACTGCTGATGTTGATGGATGTGATAGATGCCTCGCGGGCCTTGAAATAACACTCCAAGAATGCCTTTTTGCCAGCAACAGTTGAATCCGTAACCCAGTTATCTAGATATCTAACCTCCTTGCGATAGGCCTGCTTTAATAGGCCAAAGACAGCCATATCTAGAGGCTGGAGGACGGCAGAGGCGTGTGGCGGTAGAAATAGTAGATATATGTTATGCTGCTAGCATTGCCACATAAAATCAATAGTTATATGGCTGTGATGCCCATTAAGAACCAGCAGTCTGGCCTCCTCTGGCTAGGTAGGCTTAGTGCGTAGGATAAAGACCTTCTCTAGCCATTCAAGGGCAGTATTATCAGTCGTCTAGCTATTATTAGTTGCTGTAAATCGCTATGGCTTATATATATTAAGGTTGGATGGGAACCACTGGGCCTGGAGTGATTTGCCCTTATATATAACTAAGGGGGGCAAGGAGCTGCTAGCAGCAGATATATACTTGATAATGGATACCTATGCCCGGGATCCTGGCTGCTTTTTCTGGATATATTGTGATGCCTTAGAGCCCAGCACTAGCCCATTGCCCCCTCTGCCCTCTATAATGCCAGTCTTATCTATATTCTATCTGTTGGATGGATGGATCCCCTGGATGGCAGGGATACTGCTAAGGCGATGGAAGAAATCCTGGATAACCTCGGGGGAATGGGCTGCCTATCGCTGGGCATCAATTGCTCTGGATCGGAGGGTTCTGATAGATGGATTTCGCCGCATAAATTAGGCCATCTATTTCCTCCCTATGGGAGGATGCCTATCGCCTATCATACGCTCTGCTAGGCCCTTTACTTGTTGATGGTTGACGTATCTGCTAAGGGACTGTTGAAGGGTGATATGGGCAGCCAGATTATCCTCCTGGGCCTGGGATAAGTGCTGCCTATCTTCAAAGGCAGCATTCCTGCTTTGCCTGCTGTGGTATTGATGTTAAAGTGTTTGATATGGTATACCCTATGCGCGAGCAGCAGCCCGCATACCCTTTCCAGACTGCACCTCTAGAAGGGCCCGTTGGAGCTTATCTTCGGAATATTGCTTCATAATGGGTTAAAGAAGGTATCCTGAAAAAATGGCGTTGTTTGGTTATGAATGGTAATTGTTGTGATGGTTTGAAAAAAGTAGTGGTGTTGATGAAGGAGGGGAAATGCGGCATTTTCGGGTGGCTCGGATGCGGGGGTGGCTCGGATATAGGGTGGGGGAGTTAACCCAGAGTTAGGAAATAGGGCTTGGCTACAGGTATCTGTCATATAAAACAGGTTTATAAACCAAAACTTAGTGTTAGTATGATAGGGATTATAATTATAGTGAAAGCGCGTAGGGTATGATGGGACTTTTGCGGTGCGGTGACTATACAGAACACCTCAACCATCAAAAGCAACACAAGATTCCTCGTTGATCGGCGTACATATTGCATCAATCGGTCCACGATTGGCCTCATTCGTGAGAACCAAGTGTCCCGATCGGTCGCAACAGTGCTCCAAATCAAGCGAGTAGATACTCCCGATCATCTTGTATTATCACGTCCGACGATAGATCATAGAAAGGCCCTAGTTCGATCAGGCAAAGGTAGGTCTGAGAATGAATGTGTAAAATGTGTGTGTGTGTCCCTAATCTATCTTCTGCCGGCTTATATCTTTAGCCCACGATCGGACGCTAAGTTCTTCCGATCGGTGCACGTATCTTCCGAAGTCCAGGCTGATCACCCCGCCCTACTCCAATAGTAGTAGTAATAGTATTAATTAACTATTAGTTACTAGTTAAAGATAATATTAGAAGAAAAGGGAAGGGGTTACTACTATAGATATTTATAATAGTGTAAGTAAGCCGCTAAGGTGAGTTACGTAAGGTAGGTCATGTGACTCTAGATCGGCTCCACTATTGACTGGTTGAATATCCTAACACTTAGAATCAAAGAGGTCGTTAGAGGTTAAACCTTTTAATTCACAAGGGTACGCAGGGATGTCATGCAGCATAACTAGACAGGAGACTTATTAGTTAGCTACTTTAACATTTAACATTTCACTTTCATCTTTATTATATATCTGTCATAGACAACCTTTCTCAGATTTCTCAACTACGTGTTAACAAGAATAGAATGTCCTATAGAACCCAAGAAAGCCTCTTTGCAATCTACTATACACCTACCATTAGAGCCTAGGAGTGCTACGAAAGTATTATTTGGTCCTCATACCTAAGCCAGTAGTAGTAGGAGACATGTGTAAGTTTGTTCGACCACAGTTTGGGAAACCTGGCCTGGTAGAGAAAAGAGACCTTCCTGTTGAAAAGCCTGGAGACCATTAAAGGTTAGTACAGGACAATCATGAACGGCGTATTCAGTAGTACGCAATCAATAAATACTGGGCTATAGACCACGTTTCGGGCGACTATACTATGCAGCGAGCCTTTTTATTGGACGTTTTGCCGAGAAAATTTATACGACTTAAGTTATGTTATTCAGATGATTGTCTGCATTTTTGACATGGCTCATCGTCCCAGAAACCATCCAAATCAAGACTCGGTTTCTTAGATAACCATAATGACTAGCGGCCAGAGACCCGAGATTTGGCTCTACGGCTCGGCTGGTTTGCGGCTTATCCATGCGCTTTCAGGCAGTTGGCCTGGTCCAGAAACCTCAGCAATCGGATCAACGGGAATGCCCCCCCCCTGCCACGATGGTATCACCTCAGAGCAGCTGCTTCAAATGACGGAGCATGATCACCATTGCTCGATACTTAGTTGAGACCTCATTACCCATCGGACAGCCATACAATGGCATGGACCACAAGAGGGTGCAGTCGTTCCTCCAAAAGGTGGTACGCGCATGGCAGAATGAAGGCGTTAGACTTTCGAGGCCTTGACATGTTGATTAAAAGAAGTCACATGTTTTGGCCTAAAGAGTCCCCTCAACACTTCGTCATTTGCGAAAGGTTCTCAATGGGAATTAGTCAAACTCTGCGACCTTTATTTTGAGGTCATTTCGTGCCTGGGCTTATGTCTTGTGTGGCGCACTGTGTCTCTCTTCCATTCACATCCAGCGGGAACCCGTCAAACGTTCTTGAACACTGGGCTGCGGTTTACTTATGACTTTAGTTATTTGACAACAACGTAGCTGTCAATGGGAAATTGTTGTGGTTGTGCCTCTTGAGCTAACTAGCCATAATATGCTTAAAATTATGTACAAGAGTGAGTAACACTACTCAAATCCACATGGGATTCACTGAGCCTCTACAGCGTCATGACCAGACCTGTGATTTATTTGCACACAGGAACGTTGATAACCTGACCGGCCTTGAGGCTCTGGGGGGCAACGCCGGGGTTGGCGCCGGTGAGGGAGTCAGTGGTGATTCCGAGCTTCTGGGCGATCGTGAAGAAGGTGTCACCGCTGGCGATCACGTAGGTGGCTGGGCCGTCCTTGACGCAAGTAGCCTCGCCGACGGGCGTGATGCAAGAGGTGTTGTCGGGGTTGCAGACGTCGACAGGGACCAAGAGCTCCTGGCCGGGGAAAATGACGTTAGGGTTCTCGAGCTTGTTCAGCGAGACGATGTCGCAGATGCCGGAGTGGAAGCGCTCAGCGATGGCGGTCAGGGTCTGGCCGGCCTTAACTTTGGTCTTGTGCAAGTTGCCAGGCAGACCGCAGGTGGGGCTAGCGGTGTTGGTCTGCAGAAGACCGTTAATAACTCTTTCTTCAAGATATGGAACTTATTTGGTATTGACATACGGGCAGGGCGGCAGCGAGGCTGGCGGCGGTGGCAAGGACGGCGATAATGGAAACCTGCATTTTGGCGGTTGGGTAGAAAATTGGAGATTGGTGATAATTATGGAAAAGGTATAAAAAAGAAAACTTGTAGAGACAGACTTCAAAGAGCAACAACCCGGTATTGGGAAAAGAGTGACTAGATCAGTTGGTGACAATAGAGGGAGGAATTCGACATCAGCAAGAGGTGTCTGTGACCTATATATAAAGGTGAAGGTCGAGCCAACGAAGGTATACGGAAACCACCCGGCACGGTCGTCCGGCAATGTTAAGCCGCGAATCCAGGAACGGCCCCAACAATTTGGGTTTCGCGCTAGACGTCAGTGTACGTTGTCACGATGTGCTGGAAATGAGCTCTATTCCCCCATGTGGGGGCTGTCGTCGGGTAACTAGTCATTGCGAACCTTGGGATGGAGCTTAAGCTCTTGACCTAACCACATTTAAGGCACGAGGCCTGACCCTTGTCAACGCAGATATTGAGTTTGTGCCTTTTGTAACTCGTATAGCACGATTCAAGGAACTCATTCGCAATTACGGATCCCGACCCCTTCTTACTGCGAAGGGAAGTCTTCATTGCTGATCGCGTTGCTGCAGCTGCATTCTGGATACCTGGTGGATCACGTTGTCATTTACAAACTACTAACTGAAACTAGGGGTCATTTCTACACCAAGGTTGATCCCGCGAGAAGTTGACATATTGGAGATTATGACACTGTGACTGTCAGTAGAAAGCTTACCAAGTGAGAAGTTTGATTTACTGTGTAGGAACGCCCATGGTACCCGCCCAGAATCCTATCACTAAACCCAGACACGTGGTATCCAGAGTTTGATGGTGATCACCACTCAGATGATTGCGAGAGAATGTGTTACGGTAAATTTCTGTAGAAGAGGAAATGTACATGAAATCTGGGGAAGCGGTTTGTCCGAAGCCACAACGACGCTTGAGACGTTAACTACCTGTCGATATCATAAAAGGAAAAGCGAATCCAATGATCATACTCGCCATGAGTAAGGCGAACAAGCATCCATCAGAATGCATGCAATCAACACATCATGAATCCAGGCAACTTATTGCCCTTTGTCTTCTGCGTGCCCTGCTGCTATTTCCTCTTGCCGACAGAAAAAATAATTCCGGATGACTTGTGCCGAGTAAGAGAGGTGATGCGGGCCTCTTCCAGTCCTGGTAGTTTTCTTCTCCGGTGCAGCCGGCCATCCTTGCGAGACGACCTAGCGGGAGAGGCGGTGACATGAACGCGTGTTAAATACCTTTACGCGCTCATTGTATCGACCATTTTTATCTTATTGTCTTGCTACCGTCTTCTGTCTCCCGGCTTACAACTCCACCCGCCCGCCTCTTTTCTCTTTACACCGGACTGGGCCACCTGACTTGACAGACATCGAACAATGGATAGATACGATGAGAATCTTTTTGTGAGACTCATGATATTTCAGCCGAAAAGTAGCAACGTAACACAAAACACGACAAAAACATATGCGTGTTGAAAGAATGGGTTTGCAGCATAGAAGTCTAGACATGGGCGATGTTCAGCCAATAACCAAGCACGACGAAAGACTGATGAGTGATGCCACATGGAGATACCAGTTGTCAGAACAACGGCCTGGTTTCAATAGAGAGCCGCGGTCAGAATATATACTGGCGAGTGCGAGAACGTACTGACACTCCAACGAGGACTTGCGCCGCGAGTTTCAAATATCCAGCTTTCTTATGGAATAATCCCTCGATAACAATGTATCACAGGAGGCTCATGTCTGTGTGGCGGATACCGTCAGCCACACCACGTGCCTCGTCACATGGACGAGCTCGAGGCCCCCCCTTTATATCGGCCCTCCACCCGTGGGATTCTTCTTCCCACAAGACAAGCCTTTTCTTCATTCATTCGTAGGACCCTATCTGCTGTGTGCTCTAGTTCGTGAGACAATGCTTCAGGACGTATGGCTTATTGTCACAAGGTGATAGGCCACAATTGCAGCACGGCAATTATGGGTCCACCTTTGTGTTCTAATGCCTCATTCTCATTCGTCAAACTTATCAATAAAGCCTTGGATCGATTGGGTTACTGATAGATCGTCTCACCGACGGGGTTTGTGAGCGCTTCCAACAAAAGCGATCGGATTTATTCATGTACTGAGCCTTTCCTGTCTAACTCAGCGTTGAATCCATATTCGAGCATGTATAAGACCATAGGATGGAAGAAGTCGTTCAGCATGACGCAGCGAGGCAGAAGGAACCGACCATTTGTTGAATTGTGAAGCTTAGTTCCAAGGTGTATGCGTTCTTAGCCCTCGAGACGCTGGTATCTTTGACGCTACAGTCAAACATGGACCTGCCGCGAATGCAATTAAACTGTATGCATGGTACATGCAACAAATGTTTCAAAGACGGACTGCCAGGACGATGGGCGGATTTCTAGCAGTGGTCGAGTATCTTCTAGGTGTTAGGGGCCGATCAGACTTGGGAAATCGGCAGCTGCTAAGCCCCTGGCTAGCCTTCAGTGTCAACATGAGTTAATCTGCGGTTGGCTTTGCCCAGCAACTGCACTACGAGGGACGTGACTGTACTGCGTTTCATAAGTCGATTGCTCACGGGTGCGATACAACAGCTCGTGCCTGCTAAGCCCAAACCAACTGGAGCTTTGACAGGCCAGGCCAGGCCAGGCCGGGCCAGTCCACCCACAGTCTAGGCATTTCTATCCGGCCCACCCCCGGATCTGCACCAATCCTGAATTGGCTAGGGCGCTGGCAGTTGTCCCCCCCGATAACGATAACGATATGGCCATCCTTCGATCCTCTTCTTCATGGATCTCGCCCGGAACTCCCTTCTACTATACACATTGAGTCCGAAAATCAGACCCGGAATAAAATCACCGAGTGAGTGCACTCGAGCGTACTTCAAAACACACAGAGTATGGCGTTGCTGGCCTCTCCGAAGAAGCTGGACGATCTGCCGGACGAGATTCTTCTCCGCATTCTATCATGTGAGTACCTATGTTTCTTTAGCCGACGGCGTGCCCCAGATTTCCAGCTGACAGCCTGGTGCCGCTTAGTTCTAGAGCCCTACGATTTCCCCGGACTGCAACTCGTATGCCGAAAACTTCAAAAAATCTCCCTCGACAACAACCACTGGCGATCAAGGACGTTTGAAGAGTCACCATTTCTAGAATCGATCCGACGGCGCCGGCGCCTGACCCATTCCATCCAGGACGACGTCATCGACGAGCCTCTCCTCAGCGCTGCCGTGCAGCTAAGCCATGAGCATGGTGATACAGAATTGTCCCCGCACTTCCACGATGAAGAAACGGCAGAGCAGCGCCAGTTGCAGCGGCACAGGGATATGGTGAACTGGGACCCCTCGTTTCCGACAGAGCCTGTCTTTTGGTATAATGAATATATACAGCGGTATGCGCCTACCACAACGAGTTGGCTGCAGCAGCCCAAGATTCGAGACGGCAACGAGGTGGATACTCTGGATGTCCGAGGAATGGCCCTCTATAGCCCGAATCGAGAGAGTAACGAATTGCTGGCTGTATCGCCATTAGACGACGGATCCGTGTGCCTGTGGGACGTGAAGGGCGCGACAAGTCGGAAAGGCGCCATCGTTGCGACGAGTTCGGCAGGGATTCTTTACCTCGACGGTCCTCAAACTATGGGGAGGTCACGCAAGATCGATGTCGGGGTATCGGAGTGCATCAGCGTTGACAGCTTCGCCGACAAGGCCTTTGTCGCAGTCCAGGGTCATATTCTAGAAGTGGACCTCAATCGCCTGGCGGTCGTCGGCGAGCAGTCGTTCGAGTGGTCCATCACGGCCTTATCGTCGGCCGCTCCAGGTCTGCCACTGACCGTGGGAACTTCGTTGGGGATACATTTATACGACTACAGAGCACGGGTAAGGCCACCGAGTGAAACAATTGACCAGGTCGACGTGCTGGCAGTGCGTGGAGGAAGTGGGCTTTACGCACAGAGGCCAACAAACGTATTCGACGACCCGCTTCCGCCGTACGCACCGTTGTCACAACCGACGCCCCTAAGCATTTTACATCTACCCAAGCCATGCGATGAATATTCCTTTTCGGACGACATCTATGTGGCAGGTCGTTTTTCAAACATCCTTCACTATGACAGACGCAAGTTTCCCTCCATCGTGGGCTCCATCCACTCGGGCGCTCGGCTGGCCAGCCTCGCATCTCTCCCGTATCCCTTCTCCACGCTGGACAGCGAAACACGTCGGAGGAGCGACTTGTCCGCCGAACAAGTGATGGCGTCCAAGACGAGAGAAGGCGGCCGAACTCTGATTGCTGGTGGTGAATACAACACCAAGGGCTCACTCGAGTTGTACGGACTGTGCCAGCGCCCGGGCGAAGTGTCGGCAGATCTCATGCAGAATTCCACGATGAAGAATCGGCAGACGTCTTCGCAGTCCAAAATTCTCTCGGTTTCGAATCAAGGTACTCGCATTGTGTTCTCGGACGGCTCCGGGCTCCTGAAATGGTTCGAGCGCGACGGCTTCACCGAAGTGAGGCGGCACAAGATTGGCCACAGCGAAGTTTTGGAACGGTCCTCTCTTTTTGCGTCAATGCCTGGTTCGGACGACCTTGCCCGGAAAATTTTGTCGACACAAACGCGCAACGGACTGGACAATGTCAACGATGACGATATCTTGTTCTGGACAGGCGAGAAGCTTGGGCTCGTCAGTTTCTCTGGTAAGCCTGGATTCGCCGCAGACGACTTCGACGATCCGGTGCTCAAGTCGGAGGAAAAGGTGAAGGTGGAGGAGGCAGAGAAAGAGTATGGCGAGAGAATGAGGTTGGCCCTTGAACGGCAAGCGGACGACGTCCGTTTCGTACAGGGTCTGGGCTTGGGTTTAATGGGGTAATGCGCCGACTATACGGATGTGGTGTGGCCAGAGCAAAGAAGACTTTTCTCATAGCGCAGCCTGGTGAAATGAGCAAGCAGGCCACAGATGGCTCTACGATGACTCCACGACTTTGCGACATAGAGTGAGATAAACCATGTCTAAGAAGGCTTTCCAGACCATGAGCACTAGAGGAACCGCTTAAGGGACTATTGGCAAGGAGCATACGAGGTAGCAAGCAGCGAATGGGTCCAATCGTGCAATGCATCAATATTGAACAGGAGACGCCGACATTGGCACAGAGGGTAGAAGCGACGTCGGCTAGGACTTCTGAACTCCGAGAACTCTGAAGGATGAAACATTACAAACCCACGACAAGAGCTGTCTGGGACGAACCGTAGCCAGACTTTAATTTGAGACCACGGGCAAATTAGACTGCAAATTGGGCAGAGACGAGGGTTTTGTGTTTGCATGGCGTGGCATGGTATGGCACGACACACACACATGACAACCCATCTCAACCAATAGCCGGAGGCGTATAGAAAGCTATGACCTCAGAGCCGTTGTTCAGAACAGGGACGACAGGGACAGAGAATCCTTTGGTTGGCGTAAGGTTCCAAGAAAGTCTCCCGCCCTTCTGCGGCATGGACAGGGGAAAGATGGGTGCATAGCACGAAGAGTGGAGATTCGCTTAAACGGCGCTAAAGCACTACTGAGCATTACGCGGAATCTGGCGCCACCGATTCTCCGGGTTGAGGCTGTGCTGGCTCTCAAGTGACGCTCATGATTGGTTTACTGCGCCCCTCAAGCCCCTCCCTCGAGGATACACTGGGAGTTGTCTGTCGTCAGGCACCGGCGGGAGGGACAGTCGGCCAAACGCTTGGATTTGGCATCTCGGGCGAGAACCAGCCACACTGCATCTGCGTAATCCCACCGTCCGTACCGCAACGTCACCCTGGGTGCGCGCTCTTTCCAGTCTCTCACTCTACCCCAAGCCGAGGGGGAAATAAACCCAATCTTCGCTCATTCATCACCAGTGTACAAGCAACCCGTCAAGCTTGCTTTGCGCAAACCAACGAGAGATCTCCATCGAGAAGAGCCCAGCATGGTGAGACGCTTCATGCCCTCCCCCGCGCGCCCACCACCCCGATCGCGGCTGCAGCTACTCCAAAATCCCACCCGGCCACCGAGCACAAGAGGACAAGACTGACCGATGTGCATATGCTTTTCTATAGGGTATCTCACGACGTCCCAAGGATAAATCCGCAAAGTCGGGCCCTGCCGGTTCGTCCGGCGCAGCGGGCGGCGGCAAGCCGAAGAAGGCCACCTACGAGGTCACCAAGAAGAAGGAGATCGGCGTTTCGGATCTTACGTTGCTCAGTAAGGTGTCCAACGAAGCCATCAACGAAAACCTTAAGAAACGATTCGAAGGTCAAGAGATCTATACCTACATCGGCCATGTGCTGGTGTCAGTCAACCCTTTCCGGGACCTGGGCATCTACACCGACCAGGTCCTCGACAGTTACAAGGGCAAAAACCGCCTCGAGATGCCCCCGCACGTGTTCGCTATTGCCGAATCGGCGTACTACAACATGAAGGCATACCAAGATAACCAGTGTGTCATCATTTCCGGAGAGTCGGGTGCTGGCAAGACGGAGGCCGCCAAACGGATCATGCAATACATCGCCAACGTTTCGGGAGGAGAGTCGGGCGACATCAAGCAGATCAAGGACATGGTGCTGGCTACCAATCCTTTGCTGGAGTCCTTTGGCAACGCAAAGACGTTGAGGAACAACAACTCGTCCCGTTTCGGCAAGTACTTGCAGATTCACTTCAATGCGCAGGGCGAACCCGTCGGCGCCGACATCACCAACTACCTTCTCGAAAAGTCCCGCGTCGTCGGCCAGATCACCAACGAGCGGAATTTCCACATCTTCTACCAATTCACCAAGGGAGCCTCCCAGACCTACCGACAGCAATTCGGAATCCAGACCCCCGAGACGTACGTCTACACTAGCAGGTCGAAGTGCCTCGAGGTCGACGGAATCGACGATTTGGCCGAGTTCAACGACACGCTCGAGGCCATGAAGGTTATTGGCCTTAGCCAGGCAGAGCAGGATGAGATCTTCCGCATGTTGGCTGCGATCCTGTGGGCCGGCAACATCCAGTTTCACGAAGGTGACGATGGATACGCCGCTGTCAGCGACCAGTCGGTCGTAGACTTTTTGGCTTACCTCCTGGAGGTGACACCCGAACAGCTCATCAAAGCCATCACCATTCGTATCCTTACCCCGCGACATGGAGAGATCATCGAGTCCCTCACGAACCCAGCCCAGGCTGTTGCGACACGAGACGCCCTGGCCAAGGCCATCTACAACAATCTATTCGACTGGATTGTCGAGCGCGTCAACAAGTCCCTAAAGGCTAAGCAGGCGACGACCAACAACATTGGTATTCTCGATATCTACGGCTTCGAAATCTTCGAGAAGAACAGTTTCGAGCAGCTTTGCATCAACTACGTCAACGAGAAGCTGCAGCAGATCTTCATTCAGCTCACGCTGAAGGCGGAGCAGGACGAATACGCGCGCGAACAGATTCAGTGGACACCTATCAAGTACTTCGACAACAAGATTGTGTGCGACCTCATCGAGTCGATCCGGCCTCCAGGTGTTCTCTCTGCCATGAAGGATGCCACCAAGACGGCCCACGCAGACCCTGCCGCTTCTGACCGGACCTTTATGCAGAGCATCAACGGCATGTCTAATCCCCACCTGACCCCTCGTCAAGGCAGTTTCATCATCAAGCACTATGCAGGCGATGTGTCTTACACAGTTGACGGGATAACGGACAAGAACAAGGACTTGCTCCTAAAGGGCTTGCTTAACCTTTTCTCCGGCAGCAGCAACCGCTTTGTCCACACACTGTTCCCCAATCAGGTCGATCAGGACAACCGCAAGCAGCCTCCCTCTGCTGGTGATCGTATCAGAGCTTCTGCAAATGCGCTGGTGGAAACTTTGATGAAGTGCCAACCTTCGTACATCCGAACCATCAAGCCCAACGAGAACAAGTCGCCGACTGAATACAACGTGCCCAATGTACTGCATCAGGTCAAATACCTTGGTCTCCAGGAGAACGTTCGTATTCGTCGTGCCGGATTTGCCTACCGCCAGACATTCGAAAAGTTCGTGGATCGATTCTTTCTGCTTTCGCCTGCGACGTCATACGCCGGCGAGTACACTTGGCAGGGATCGTACCAGGATGCTGTCAAGCAGATTCTCCAGGACACTAGCATTCCCAAGGAGGAATGGCAGATGGGTACGACAAAGGCCTTTATCAAATCCCCTGAAACACTCTTTGCTCTCGAGCACATGAGAGATCGATACTGGCACAACATGGCCACGCGTATCCAGCGCATGTGGCGAGCATATCTGGCTTACAGAGCTGAGTCTGCTACTCGTATCCAGCGGTTCTGGCGTAAGAAGAGGACTGGTGCCGAGTATTTGCAGCTTCGCGATCAAGGCCACAGAGTCCTTCAAAACCGCAAGGAGAGACGGAGATACAGTTTGCTCGGCTCTCGAAGATTCTTGGGCGACTATCTTGGCATTAACGCCTCAATGGGCCCCGGCTCCCAGATCAGAAACGCCATCGGGATCCCCAACAACGAGAAGGTTGTCTTCTCCTGTCGCGGAGAGATCCTGGAAGCCAAGTTTGGCAGATCCAGCAAACCGAGCCCCCGCATTCTGATTGTTACCAGCAGCAAGTTCTACATTGTTGCTCAGATGCTCGTCAACGGCCAGCCGCAGATCTCGGTTGAACGGTCCATGCCTCTGGGTACCATCAAATTTGTTGGTGCTTCAACGGCTCGCGATGATTGGTTTTCTCTCGGTGTGGGATCGCCCCAGGAGGCCGACCCCTTGTTGAACTGTGTTTTGAAGACCGAAATGTTCACACAGATGCAGCGCGTCATGCCCGGTGGCTTTAGCCTTAAGATCGGTGAAGTGATCGAGTATGCAAAGAAGCCTGGCAAGATGCAGACAGTGAAGGTCCTCAAAGACTCCCAGCAGGCTGTTGACTACTACAAGAGCGGAGCTGTGCACACCCAGCCTGGCGAGCCCCCCTCATCCGTGTCCAAGCCCACACCAAAGGGCAAGCCGGTTGCTGCTCGGCCTATCACCCGTGGCAAACTGATCAAGCCCGGCGGTCCCAACGGCAGACCATCCCGGATGACAAACACCAACCGGACACCTCAGCCTCGACCTGCCGCCTCGACCTCCAGGACCGGGCCTGTTCAACCTCCTGCTGCAGTGAGCTCAGCCAAGACTGGGCCTTTCGGACGTCAACACCAAGAAGCTGCGGCCGTGGCGACATCAATTCCTACACACACGAAACCACAAGCAGCAAGCTCCGCAGCTACTAGGATGCCTCCTCCACCCCCCCCTGCCGCGCCGCCGGCGAGGAACAAGATCATGGCCAAGGTCCTGTACGACTTTGCAGGCCAGAAGGAAAATGAGTTGACAGTCAGAGCTGGCGACATGATCGAGATCGTCCAGAAGGAAACCAATGGTAAGCGCAATCCCCTAGTACTCTTACAGCTCGCCAAACGGAGACTGATTTTGCATGCTATAGGCTGGTGGCTCGGAAAGAATGGTGGCAGCCAAGCTTGGGTTCCTGCCGCCTACGTGGAAGAGCAAGCCCCTACTCCTGTCGTGGCTCCTCGTCCTCCCCCGCCCCCCCCTTCGGCCAACGGAGCTGCTGCCCGTGGCAAGCCTACTCCTCCTCAGCCGCCCATGAAGCGACCTGCCGCAGGCCGCAGGCCTGTCAGTTCTCAGCCACGCGACTCGGGCTTGAGCCTGAACGGAGCTAGCGGCTCCGACAACAGCCGCAGCAACACCCCGACTCCTAGCTTGAGCAACAGCTTGGCGGACGCTCTTCTCGCTCGCAAGAACGCGATGCAGAAGAAGGACGACGACGACGACTGGTGATCGATACGCATGTGGAAGGTCAGGGATGAGGTTGGGTCGATAGATCTAGACCCGGAACGATGCTTCATGATTGCACGACACGATTGCTCTTTGGACCGATGGTGTAAGCGAGATTGTGGAATGTGAGTTGCGTTTAGAGAGGCAAGCATTTCACGACCAGCAACTTTTTTCTTCTTCTTTTTTTTTTAATTCCTTCTGCATACAAGGATCAGGGCAACCCCGGATGGGAGGAAGGATTTCGTCCTGTCTTGTATGCGCCTTTTGCTTGATAGAGGCGGGGAGGTCAAAGGGATTCATGGTCTGGGCGAAGCCCTCTTTGGATGTCCCTTTTTGTTGGTTTTAGGCGACGATTAGTATAGAAACCTGGGAGGTGATCCAAAAAAAAGACTTATCGTTACACAACCTCTTTCTCACTTTTGTTTCTTTCATGCGTCTATCCACTTAGTCTAGTCCTCTCCGTCTTTTTGCAGTATCTTTCTCCGGCGCAGTAATTCGGCAAGTGGTACGTCGTCGTCGTCGGCGGCCTCATCACTCATGTCTTCGTCCTCGTCGACCCCAAAGTCTTGCAGCCGCTCACCGTCGGCGTTGGTCCACCCGGGTTCTCCGTCAGCGCCCTGCTCGTACCCGTCGTCGGATTCGTCGTCGATGAGGTCGTAGTCGTCCATCTCCTCCAGTTCCGCCATCAATCGCGACCGCTGGCCCTGCCACCGCTGTAGATCCGCATCCTGCCGCGTCCGGAACGCCTCGAGCTCCTCCTCCTTGCTTCTATACCGCTGCACTCGCACGCTCTTGGGGTCCCGCGCGGCGGGCCAACCGCCCTGCGCGGAGCGGCGCACCTTGTCAGGGTCCGGCGGTGGCCACATGCCTTGCTTGTGGTTCAGTCCGTTCTCGGGCCACTCCCAGCCCACACCCCGCCCGTCTTTGCTCAGGTCCGGGTTGCCCGCGAAAGGGAACACCCACATGAGCGGGTTCGGGGTGCCCATCGCCTGGGCGAGGTTTGCGTAGATGCCGACGTCGTAGGGGAACTCGACCTTGCCGAAACGCAGCCTCTTGCCGTCGGGGCCCGCGATGGACCAGAACTCCCCCGCACCCCCGTCGAGGCGATCCCGGCGGTCGCAGACGGCGGCGTGGCGGTCGACCTCCCAGCCCTCGATCATGGTTTCGTTCAGCACCCAGCTACGGAGGGTAGAGAAAAAGAGGATGCCCAGGGCGAAGGACGTGAAGAAGCAGACCAGGGAGAGGACCGTCAGGTGCACGAGGGCGGGGAGGGAGGGGCCGAGGTAGGAGGGGAGCCGGCGGTGCTCCCAGATGGCGGCGAAGCGCAGGTAGAGCAGGCGGGCGAGGTACCAGAGGGAGACGTTCGTGTACAGGAGGAAGCGGAGGAAGTGCGGGAAGGTAGTAAGGGAGACGCAGTTGGTCGTCCAGGGGCAGTGGTGGTCCATGCCTAGGAGCGGTTCGTCAGCACGGCAACAATCAAGGCGGGAGAAGGGCGAGAGGACCCTACGTACGTGGTATGCAGCGCGCGCAATGTCGGCAGTGATGCGCGCGCGGGGGCTTGGGCGCGGCGCACTTCCTGCACCAACGGCGCAAGAGGCCGTGCTCGTCCGGCTCGGGGACCTCGATGACGGAGTCGCGGAAGACATAACGGCCCGGGTCGACGGTGCAAGACTTGTAGTAGGTGTACCAGAGGCAGAGCACGAGGCCGTTGAAGACGTAGGTCTCGGATCGGGAGAGGCGACCGGGCGCGAGGGAGTCGTCGGCGAGGTAGAAGAGCAGCTGCGAGGTGTAGGCGAGGAAGGCGATCAGCAGGCACACACCGGGCACGGCGAGGCGCTTGACGAAGGGGGAAGGGGAGTCGTTGAGGCCGGCCATTGTTGTGGCGCCATTGGGGGTTCGGGGGCCGGAGGGGAGGAAACGTTGGTTTCGGCGTGGGGACGTGTCGTTTCCGGAAAAGGAGGGTTATGAGGCCTATGTCGGAAGGTCAGGAAGTGAGGTGCTGTTAGTCCGCGATGGAACCCTCTCGGTGCCGGGACGGAACGAACGGACGGCTCGGGGTACGGAGCGTCGGATGGACTGGGGAAGGGGGGAGCTTGGCGCGGGCCAAGGGGGCAGTGCAAGGGAGAATTATGGGGGCGAGACGCGTCTCAATAGGGGGGAAGCCTGGTTTAATCGGATTATGTAAGGTCTGATGCTGTTTGGCAAACACGTTTCCCTGCGGGCGATTCTTCTTGCCTAACTGTGTTTCCAAGTTTATCAGGTCTTCGCCAATTGGGAAAGCAAACCCGAAAATTCCATGGCTTGCTGACCCAAGTGCGACTGTTTCCTTTCTATACGAATGTGCTGATGATTCCACCTGTGGCTGCGTTGTAATCGTTCAGGCCTACCCAGGTTCTCTCCCAATGGCACGCGATGCGCATGTACATATGACGGCGCTTTGGTACGGAGCTCTATTCCCCGTTCCCACCTCGCGATGTGTTAGACACTGTCCGGTCAAAGACAACCGACTAACCCGTTCAAAGTGCTGTCGGTTCTTTTCTATGGATTTCGTCCAATGTTGAGCGCCATTCTCTGATTGGTGTGTGATTTCTTTTTCATTACCATCCGCTGCGGTCTGGTGTGAAGGCATTCATCCACTGACGCAACCCGCTCCTAGTATACCCCCGCCTGTCTTCTGTCTTGATCCTCCTGATATCGGGGGGTCTGACATGGCTTGCAAGCTGCCTCGCGGCGTGGCTACCTGGATCTGACGGCCGATTCGGTGAGTCTATTGTCTGCCCCTTCAGACCCTCCAACGTATGTTAACTGTGTTACAGATGAGCGCGATGCCGACCCCACGAGAGTCATGGAGCATGTTGTTCCAGCCAGGCCACGACGCTACTTTGCGCCCCTTCTGATCTTCTGCATCTTCTTGCGCCTCGAGATTTTCTACCGAGTGACTTCTCAGCTCCAGTGCTCCGTGCCGGGAATCCAGGTGAGCCGCAGTACCCACGCTCTGGAGCCCACCCCTTGATGAGAGATCGGGCGGACTAAGGATCGCAGGCTTTCCTATGCATATATTTGGTTGTATACCACGTTCTCTATTACCAGAAAGCTCGTCCGCCACCTCCGGAAGAGGACCCTTGGGCCACGCCTCTTGACGACCTTGCGTTTTGGGCCAGCGGCTCTGCGTCCCTCGCGCTAGGGAGCATCGCCCTTGTCTGCTACAGCACCTTCCTCGCTATCTCTCAGGGAACCAGATCAACCTTCTTCTGCTCGTCTTTGCTGGATAGTCGGCTATCGACGCTCGCCTTTCAGCTCGCCGGACTGTTTCTGGATGCCGTCATCATCTCGCTGTTTTGGCGTATCTTGGCGTGGACGAAGACAACAAAGGTTCGTCTGAGGACGCTGGCTTTTGTCCTGCTCCTTTCGGGAGTCTTCATCAAGGTCTTCCAGATTCTCATATCCCCAATTATCTCCACCGGCGAGGGCTACCCGGCTTCCATTGGCGGAATCGACTCGTTGTACATCTTCGACGTCTTCATCGACAGCTTTGCCTTTGCCATCCTTGTCATTTCTCTGGGTATACTCATCTGCGAAACGAGTCCTATCGCCCCTGCGAGCATCATCACCTTCATTTGTGGCATGGCAGCGACTTTCCAGAACATTGCTCACATTGGTACGTGGCAAATGCAGTCTAAACTTGTTGCCATCGGACCACTTTACCTGCTGAGTGCGGGCTACAGCTTGTTCCTATACAGCACGAACGCCCGGTCCATCCTCTTCATCCCAAGGATGTTGCTGATTGTCCTTCTGTTGGCAACGCTCATTGGGATGACTATCACCGGCCTTGTCAAGTCGACCACCCAGAAGAACCACCCCCTGAACACAATCATCTACGAGACCAGAGTGGAATCGGACCGCTGGCTCCGGCATGTCAAGACCAGCGAGAACGTCCGCGCCGCCGTCGGCGTGTACCATGAACGACACTATGGCAGAGATCCACCTCCCAACTTTGACAAGTGGTTCGAATTTGCCAAGGCGCGCAAGACGGCCATCACAGACCACTTTGAGCAGATGGAGAGTGACATTTTTCCGTTCTGGGGCGTCAAGCCAGAAGCAATTCGGCAAGCCTACAACGAAAGGGTTCCGAAAGAGCCACACATTGCGGTCGTCACGATTGAGAATAAGCAAGTATCGCACAACTACCAAGGCGACGGCGAGAACAAGAAGGTGCTCGATGAACTTGTCGCCATGATCCAGGGGTTTGTAGAGCATCTAGCCGATATGAAGCTTCCCATCAACCTGAGCAACCAGCCGAGAGTATTGACCCCATGGTACGATCTTCGTAAAATCGATGTGGCGGGGATGAAGAAGAAGTTCAAGCACCTGTCAACGCGCTCAGTCGAGGATCCAGCGACAGATGGTGCCGGCGATGCTTCCCTGCCAGAGGGGGCCGCCGCGCAGCAAAGCCCAGAGAAGCAAGGCACCGGCGACAAACCGGAGACGAAACGTCAAGCCGCAGCAGGCTCATCCGTCGTCATACCGTACACGAAGGGAGCCATGTTCTCATCTACCAAGGCCTGGCGGGAGATGGAGGCCGCCGTGTGCCCAGTAGACAGCCCAGGCAGGTCAGGTCTCCATTGGAACGTCCGCGATTTCTGCACCTCATGTGCCAAGATGCACTCCGACGAACAGTTCCTGAAACGCTACCCCCAATCCAAGAGCCTGTGTGACCAACAAGACCTCACCCGGCTCCACAGCTTCCACACGTCGGCTCCGCCAATCACCCCCTTCCAGGAGCTTCTCCCCGTCTTCAGCAGGCACAAGGCCGACGGCTTCAACGACATCCTCATACCCCTCGTGCCACCAGCCGAGGAGGGCCCCGGCGTGAACAAGGACTTCCGGCAGCGCAAGGACAGAGTGTACTGGCGTGGCACGATCGGCGACAAGCCCATCAGCGAGGAGGCGCTGCGCGGCAACCACAAGCACCGGCTGGTTCACCTTGTCAACAACGCAACGGCGGCGGACGATGTCACGATGATGCTCGGCGCACCGGCGCAGGGCAACTGGTATAGCTACGAGACGGTCGCTGCGCGCGAGGCCAACGCCGTGCTCCCGCTCGACGTGGGCATAACGGAATATGCGTGCGAGGGCGGCCCCGGCTGCGACGCGGCTAAGGCGGAGCTGGGCCAGACGCGGGCGGAGGGGGACCCGCTGGAGAACCGGTACGTGCTGTTGTTGGACGAGGACACGGCGCCGCCGCCGGGGCTGCTGCGGACGGTCCGGTCGCCGGGCAGCGTGCCGTTCCTGTCGTCTGTCTTTGGAGAGTGGTACTCGGAGCGGCTGCTCCCATGGCTGCACTTCGTTCCTATCGACACGCGGTTCCATGCGCTCCATAGCACGGTGGCGTACTTTGTCGGGCTCAAGGGCCGCGGCAAGGTCAACGGGCGTGAGCTGGAATTCGAGGCGCGGTGGGAGGACGCCGAGTGGATCGCAACACAGGGGGCACGGTGGGCGGACAAGGCGCTCCGGAGGGAGGATATGGAGATTTACCTGTTCCGGCTGCTCCTAGAATGGGGTCGCGTGGTGAGCGATGACCGGGATAGCATTGGGTTCAAGCTAGACCAGGCGTGATGGCTGGGTTTCTTTTTTTGAACTGTTCATAGACATGTATAAAATAGGTACAACAGCATGTGTTCGCGCGATTGATGTGCCGGTGAGTCTTGATCCTCAACACTCCCCGCCAGGATGCGTCGACGACCACCAGTAAAGGTGACATCGTGGGAAGGGTAGCAATATGCATGCGAAGCTTAGATACCCAATTCATCGGGACCGTCCATCAGATAGCATAGCCCACTGTTTGGTGCGACTAACTCGGCACCATACCCACAAAGGGCTCCGATCATCGTCCGCCTGGCCTGAACTGCTGCCTCACGCAGGCCTTGTTTTTTCCTTCTTTCCCCCCTCTCTCCCATCATGCTTGGAGGACGAGGCGAGGATCTCCGTTCCCCTACGATCATCACCCCCCTGAGCGTGGCGGGCGTGGGTCAATTCTCTTCCCATCACGATTCTCTCACGGAAAAGGATCTCCTTACTTTGGAGGTCGGGTCCCAAGAATGGACACACGGTTTCGCCATTAGAGAGAGCGAATCACCTCCTGAAGATTGGGTTTCCCTTCCTCACATCTCTTTGTCTCGATGGTGTAGCATTAGAGGTTGTTGTCCCCGCTTACATACCGAGGCAGTATACATGACAGGGGGTGGGGGAGGCAGTGTACAATCAGTTCCGTTCGGAGGAGCTGGTCGAGGGGTGAAGCTCGTTTCAGAGTGACGGGTGCGACTGAACGGGGACATTTACCCGTGAGGCATGGCGGTGGCCGTGATCACCCCCCACCTTTCCTCCAGGATGGAGAACAAAGTCAAAAGACGAGGAACGATGGCGGAAAAGAACTGGTGTCGTTTGCCCCCCCCTTTCCTCGGATTGGCAAACAGCGAGGAACTTCGGTGGTGCTACAGCTCCGCAGAAGATGTACATGTGCCCGTGGTCCACAGCGTTCTTGCTACCTGATTAATTAGAGAGCTTATAAGTATGTCAGACGTTTGACGATGACAAAGTGGGGACGGGGAACCTTGACACACGGGGCGCGCCTCGAACCACAGTGATGCTCGACACAGTAGCCAGCCAGGCAGGCAGGCAGTTCGGCACCTGTACCTAGCCCCCTTCTACTCGTACATACGCTAGACAGGGCTGCCCCTCCCCCTCCCCCTCCCCCTCACCCGTCACCAACAGCTTCCCCCTCTTCTCGCCTCTACCTCTCCCGCCCCGCCATCTCTTCAACGCCGACAAAGACGCTGACCGACCTCGCATCTTCAGTAAAGTAGGGAGACCCTGTGTTGGCTTTTCCCGTGGTCTTGCAGATCTTGCTCAACCTCTGCTTACATACGACAACATCCTCTCCCCTCTCTCCCCTCCCCGGCGCTGGACCTTTTACCCGTGCATCCACCCGGTTCCATTGTCTCCTACAGCTACTTGCTGCTGATACCATCCCATTGGAAACCACCCATCCTTTTCAAAACACCCAATTCTCCCTCATACTCTTTTCGTCTCTGTCTCTCTCTCTCCGCAACCTATCTTCTCCTCAATTCGGACGCTTTCGTCACAAGGACTTCACTCACCCAAACCCCATCACGCCCTCGTGAATCCACTTCGCCTCTACCCCGCGCGCCCACAGAAGCTCCCTCCGAAACACCAGCGCATCCGCACAAGGACGTAGCAGCCATGGTTGACCGGCCCAACAAACCCACCGCCCTGGCCACCACGCCCGGCCTCCCGCCCCAGGCCACCGTCTCCATCACCCACGGCAACTCGCGCGTCGAGGCAACCCTGCCCACTGGCGAGTCCGTCGAGATCCTCCTCCACGGCGCCACCGTGATCTCCTGGAAGTCCGCTACCGGCGCCGACCGCCTCTGGCTCTCCTCCTCCTCCGTCCTCGACGGCTCCCGCCCCGTCCGCGGCGGCATTCCCCTCGTCTTCCCCGTCTTCGGCGCCCCCTCAGACGCTCACCCGCCCACCGCCTCCCTCTCCCAGCATGGCTTCGCCCGCAGCTCGCGCTGGGAGTTCCTCGGCAAGTCTACGAGCGAAGGCTCCGCCGGCTCCGAGTCCTCCGTCAAGCTCGACTTCGGCCTGTCGTCGGCCAACCTCGACGAAGAGACCAAGGCCAAGTGGGGGTACAAGTTCGGCGCCATCTACAGCGTCTCGCTCGACCGCGACACGCTGTCTACCTCCATGGTCATCACGAACGAGGGTGACGAGGCGTTTGACTGCCAAACCCTGATGCACACCTACCTGCGCGTCAATGTATGTCCCTCCCGTTCTATATGTACTGCCTCCCCATGTTACAAAAACCTAACACACAATTCTCCATTCGCAGGACATCACAAAAGTCACAGTTCAGGGCCTCGACGGTGCCCCCTACATCGACAAGGTTGACGCTTGTGCCGCCAAGACGCAATCCGGCGACGTCACCATCACCTCCGAGACGGACCGCATCTACACGCCCACTGGCGGCCCCAAGGCCCCCGTCGTCGTCCTGGAGGACGGCGAGCCCCTCTACTCTATCGTCCGCGACAATCTTGACGACGTCGTTGTCTGGAACCCCTGGGTCGAGAAGGCCGCCAGCATCGGTGACTTCTCCCCGGACGACGGCTACAAGAACATGATCTGCGTCGAACCCGGTGCCGTCAAGGGCTGGCAGAAGCTCGAGCCCGGCGATGCGTTTGAGGGTGCGCAGGTCATCTCGGTGAATTGAGGCAAGGGAATCAGGAGGGAGAGGCTGTGAGGCTCCATGCGGAGAAAGCCATTGATTGAGAGGGTGCCGAGATCTGTGGCCGAGATACAGGGTCGGGAAGATACCACCATATGAAAACATCTCGGGAGAAATTCCATAACCCCTACCGCTCGAAGCTCAAATCAGCTAGAAAGGAACATTTAGACGGCCGAAACGTGGACCGGGGTGCCGGGGACCCGGTGTCAACATGAGCGATCAGGCGCACGCGAGGGAGAGCAGGCCCTGGAAACTATCCTTTTTTCTGAATAAATATCACGCTGAAACGAGACGCGCATACTCGTCCAGGTACACGTGTAAGGCGGACGGGACGGTTGCATAAGATCATGATGATCCATCAATTCTTCCTCCTCTGGCCATTATTCCAGGCGGCGATCGACTTACAGATGCGTCCGCGACAAATCTTATACATGATGACGGGGAGTTATGGCGTCTTTCCCCCATGCTTGTTAAACAAAAACTGCCGAAAAAAAAGAATCCCCCTTTTTCAGTTTCATGCCGTGAGTTCCTTACAGACCGGGTCAAGACACACATTTTCCTCCTCTCCCAGTACAAGAGCTGAAAGAAAGGAGCATGGTTTGCTACAGACCCTTCCCTTCAGTCTTTCTCTCTCTCTCTCTCTCTCATCGACCTCGTACCCAAACATCTGCGCCAGCCAATGATGCAAAAAAAGAGGTTCCAGACACCTCTTGTTGGTCGTAAAAGCATGTACGTGGGGGGAGGGGGGGGCGAAGACTATCGACATATCCTCATGAGGACTTTGACAAAAACAGGAAAAAAGTGAAAGGGAAAAAGCCATTGAATTACAGCAGGAATGTTGTGATTTTGTTTTGTGTTTGTTTTTTCGTGCGTGGTGGCATTGGCCGCAGTAGTCATCTCAGGCACGTCCGCGGGCCTCAGCTGCGAAGAGCTCCCTCTTGATGTCCATGAGAATATCCTCCATTTTGTACACCTCGTCACGGGACAGCGCTGCGGAACGAAGCTGGTCGAGTACGCTGCTCAATGAGTCCACCATGCGGACGTCTTTCGTGTCGACTTGGGCCTGAGGCTTGGGCTGCGCGATGACGGCATTGGTGGTATCTGCGACGTCAACATCCATCGAGTCTTCGGCTGTCAGCTGTGTCTGTGTCAAAGATGGCTCCAGATTGGGCGCCTCGAAAGACTGGCTCTCGCGGTGGTCCGCCTCTTGCTGCTCATGGACCAGCTGCGAGTGGATCTCAGCCTCCAAGTCTTCGCTTCTGGAACCGGTGGAGAGTTTCGATGGTGTATCCCCGGTGAATGAGTGCTGACTCTCGCAGAACGCCTCTTCGCCAAGAACGGGTGACATGGCGAGCTGTGAGGTCTCCATCTCGTTGGTCTCGTCGTCTGCCTCTCCGGCGGTAGACTTTCTCTTCTTGTAACGGGTGCCATACCTAGAAGCACCACCTCGCTTCCGCTTCTTAGCCGACTTGTCAGGAGGAGATGCAGCCGACCTGGTCACAGGAGTCGAGGGTTTTCCAGGTGAGCGAGATTTGCTCTCGTGAGGTGCCGTCTGGGGCTGAGAAGGAGCAAGCTCTGCTGGCTCGTCCTCGTCCTCCTCCTCCTCCTCCTCCTCGTCATCGTCGTCCTCGCCGCAAACGGTGATGCAGTCAAGAACAGCGGGCTTCCCCTTCCTCTGCTTCCCGTTTCTGGGTCCCTTGGAGGGTTTGGGCGGCGACGTCGCAGGGTATTTGCTAATCGGGAGCTCGCACCTTCTACGATCCAAATCAACGACAAGTCTTAACATGCTGGTCTCATCTCCGTCGCTCATCTCGAAAGAGCGATCCTTATTGACTGCAGCCCGGGTTGCGGATCTCGTTAAAACGGTAGGCTGGGGGCTGGATGGTGCGTCGACAAACACCTCGTTGCCAGACCTAGGCTCCTCCACATTGATCACCCGGGTATTCTTAGGGGTTGACGGGGTGCTGTCAGGTTGCGGTACTGAGGTGGTCTCGGTTGTCGCCTGCTCAGACTGCTGAGGCTGCAGAGTCTCTTTCGCCTTTTCTAGAACAGGCGGTGGCAGCTCTGGTTCCTCTACAGCGCTGGAGGGCACCCCTTGGAACGAATCGTCAACTGCTGACAGATCCGGGCTGGCTTCTCCAGATTGACGCAGAGAAGCATCGGCGTTTGTCAGGTGAAGCTCGGTAGGTTCATCGGTAACTATTGCCATTTCCAGAGACGGTGAACCTGATACCGGCGATGAACTAAAGTGCCAGTCATCAAGCTCGCTCCGACTGCTGGTACGGGATTTGATTTGTGGCAATAGGGGAAATGGCCGCGGCTCGGGGGGCGAAGATGGCGGGTCCGTCATATCTTGATCATTGTCTGCCATCGCCACTGCTTGGCCTCGTCGGGGTGTTGGAGTTGAGCTGACAAAATCCTCATACCTTACGCTGCGCTTTGGCGTAACGTCTTTGGATGTCTCTGGAACGCTTTCAGGGACCACCGCCTTGAGTTCGACAGACGCATCTTCCTCTGTCTGCGCCTGGGGGCTAGAGCGCATAGCCGGAAACATTGCTACAGTGTCTTTCTGCCTCTCTCTGATTTCCTTCTGCCGTTCGGTGAGCACCTGAGACTCGGGGTTGACTGCCGGGTTCAATGGCGAATTTTCGATGGGGGCAAACTGAATCTGTGAGTCGTCGTGTCTCAGACGAGCAGTAGCAGCACTACGTCGGCCCCCGCTGCGAGTTCTCCTAGGGGTGCTACCCAGCTTCTTCCTCGCGGACAATGATGCCTTGGTCGAGCTGAGAGGAGATGAAAAGTTGATTGGCCTATTTCGAGAAGATCGTGTTGAAGATACGGTGAGCATCTCAATATCGTCCTGGGACTCAACGAAAGAATGGTTCTCATCTGTGGCTGTCTCGCGAGTAGACTCCAGACCCGGAAGAATGATGTCTACAGTCGGTCGGACGGCAAGCAAAACGGTCTTGAGGTGTTCGGGGTACTGAATGCTCTCCGCATTTTCGTAGATACAGTTCCATGCCTGAGCAATCGAGTTAACAATGTGCCGGTGCTTGCTTTCGAAGGCAGCACAGAAAAGTTCCTCAAACGCCTCAAGTTGGATTTCTGCTGGTGTAGTGTCAGGCAGGATGATACCCCTCACGGCATCCCAAAGGGCCTTGGCCTGTTCATGGTTAGCAAGATGAACTGTGCAGTTGACCGAGAAACTTACAGCTTCAGAGGTAGCAGGGCTCTGGCGAGCTTTGATAATACCCTGCGAATCCCGGATCCACATGACAAGGCCACTCTCCAAGTTTGACACTGTTCTCGGGGCGAGCTCAACGTTACAGCGGGACAGAAATCCGCCGCATTCTTTGAGTAGAGTGGCCGAGTCATCCATGTTGTCAGATTCATTGGCCTCGTATAGCCGTTCCAGCAGCTCGTTGGTCAGTTTGTACAGGTTATTGAATGGATCGAAAGAGGACGACTTGGACCCCGTAACGGCAGTGCCCCAAAGCCGGCGCCGAGCTGCTTCTACAGCCTGCCTATCCAATGGGTGCTTGGCAATGGAGAGCAATTCTGCTGCAGCTGTAACAGTCTTCGCAGATACCAAGGAGGTACTATCGGCAGGGATGGATTCGTGAATAGCCTTCGCGAGCGGTTCAATTACTCCCAAGGCTCGTCCAGCTTCGCCAGTCTCTTCGCTGGCACGGTTGGACAAGGCCGTGAGAAGGAAACGCCAGTGTTGCCAGGGAAGATTGGGTGCCTCCTGCCACCCTCGCTCCAAAAGGCGCACAACTGTGCGATACTCGTGGCCAAGGGCGGGCTCGCCAGTGGAGCTTGTGGTTTGCACATTGTTTTGGGACGAACTAAAGATAGAAGCCAAGCACTCTGCTGCGATAACCCATGGTGCGTAGGGAGAATGGGTAACTGCAGAGGACCAAATGGGCGTGGCGGACAGCATCTCTTGTGCTAGGTCGAACCTAGACTTCGCTGACCTCGGCGCGAAGAAGGGGTTGAAAACGGTCCGGTAAAAATCGACGAATTCCTCGTTGTCGGCGATACCCGGAGGCAGCCTCGACATCAATCCGGCGAGATGCTGAAGTGGTGTCCGAGCATCGCCTGCATTTTTTGCCGGCTTGTGAGAGGGCGTCGAGACAGGAGTGAAGTTTTGAAGTCGTCCAAGAGATATCATCTTCTCGGTGAAAGGCAGAGGGCCGAGGGCTTCCACAGTAACCGTAATAAGCTCACCAGCACTGGCCAAGAACCGTGTTGCTGTCTCGGGGCTCAAGTATTTAATCTCAGTCAGGCCAGCCTCCCAACGCTTGAGCAAAAGTCCGCACATCTGCGAGATGAAGGCAGTAGTATCGACGGAGACCTTGATTTCCTTGGATGCTGCAGAAACCATCGCCCCGACCAAAGTCCTCCACAAGCAATGAATACGGCTGTTTTTGTCCGAAAGCTCCAGAAAGTGTTTCTCCATGATGGGCTCAATGACCTGGAAAACGCGTGAGGAGTTACGCCGAAGCCACTTGGGGTCAATAGCCGGCAACTCATGTGGTCGGGCGAGAGGCGTTTCTCTAATGCGCTCTTCCCTCCATAGCCGCGGTGTAGTTGAATCGAAGAGACCGGTGAGAATCAAGGTTGCCTGCCGCAGGTGCTCGTCAACGGCATCGGCATTCCTTGCATGTGCCTTGGGAGCCTCTGTGATGGGCTTGACACAAGCATCCCAGTAGCTCTCTAGAAGGGTTGTACTCGTGCCAGGCTTGAAGGTGTAGTAAAGGAGGTTGCAGACGCTTCCGAAGACGACCTCTCGGATGTGCTTGCTAGTATATTTCGATTTGAGCTGGCTGCCTAGAGGTTGGTACAGTGTAGGTAGCAGTTTGGCAAAAGACTGCCCTTCGGTGTGCATGGACCAGACGAAACGGTTCCAGGCAAAATTCGCCTCTTGTTTGGTCTGGGGATGGTCGTTGTTGTTGAAGCCCATCTGAATCAGCTGCAACCACTGGTTGAAGAACTGCCACCGGTCGAGCGGGCAGCGCAAGAAGAGGATGATGACGCTCCAGATTTTGGGAACAGCAGCGGTCAATTGCCTGTCATCTTTGTCCTTGGCCATGGAACGAAGTTGCTGGTGGTAGTACTCTGCGAACTTCATCTCTTCAATGGATGTATCGAATAGTTCCATCACCTTCCGCGAAAGCGATTTCTCCTTTCCAAAAGTGTAGACAGCTTCAAAACCGAGGGATATCGCAGCCGATCGCAGCTCTTTAACCCTGCTCAGCATATCCGTGAGAAGATCGTTCAGCCAGTCCGAGTGGAGGACCATCAACTGCTTCGACTGCTGAACCAGGCGCTTGTAGATCAAGATCCGAGACATTACTATGCTCTTTCCCTTAAGAATATCTTCAATGTTGCGCAGAGCGGCGACTAGACGCCGGACACGATCAGAGGTCATGACTTTGGGGGAGAAATCCTGAGTAGCGACAGCGTGCATCAGGTGTCGAGCAATGTCTTTCGGTGTGCTCGGATTCTCGAAGGATCGGATGCAGTGATCGATGAAGAAAACACCGAAATCGCTGGGTATCGTCGAGGCGATGGCAGGGAAGTGCAGGAAGGTGGCGAGGAGGCGGAGGGCGTCGTTGACGAGAGGCGCGTCTGGTCCGCTCGAGGCGGGGTTTTTGGCGGTGATGTCTCGCTGAATGAACTGGACAAACAGCCCCATCTTGACTTGAAGGGCAATCCGGTCGGGGAGATTGTTGGACGTCTTCAGAGCATTGACCAAAGTTGAATAGGCATCCCGCTTGGAGTCTCTGTCAGCTCCGGCGAGCTGCTTCACGGTTGATTCCAACATGTCGGAGATATTGACCGAGGCCGTCAAACCATCTGCCTTAGTACTGGTGCTGAGGGGGCTCGGCGAAGATGTCTGTTTGAGAATGCCCTTGACGGGTTTGGGCTGAGTCGACGACGGTACCGAGAGAGGCGATCGCTTGCCAGAGACGTTGACGCCTTGATAATGGGGCGCCTCGTTGTATTGGGCTTTTGCAGAGAAGCCCACCCGTTTCCTTGCTCTTCGTACACTCGGATTCGTGGAATCGGTTCCGGAGAGTGGTGAACAGCCACTCGGCGGTGTGTGGAGACTCGCACGAGGGTCGGAGGAGGGAGGGAGGACGATAAAATGCTTCGGTGCGAGGGTGGCATCAGCAGCTTGGCTGGTCTCGCGGGGTGGTGTCGGTGGGCGAGGAGGTAGCGACTCTAGTCGGCTCGACACAACTTCAACAGATCCCATGGCTGCGAGGAGGCTTCCCGTCAGGTGTGGGAAGGGGACGCCGAAGACCAGCTAGCTCTGCTCCTATCTCGACTGGAGCATGCGTGCGTTGGACTCCTACCAGCAGAGACGGAGGGAATGGCGATGCGTGGAACCAAGGGTAATGTACAATCCTCCTACTATAGCTATGCAAAAAGGAAGGACGGTGGTAGAAAGGGGGGTCTTTCCAGCGTTAACGAGAGTAAGAGATTCCGTATGGAGACAGAAGAAAGAGCGAAGCCATGCACAGATATCCGTACGGATATGAGGATGGGGTTGGGGGCCGGAGTCGTGGCTCGCGAGTACGGATACTCCTCGTCAAAGTTAGGGTGGAGCGAGCTGGTTAATTGGCTGGCGCTTGACGACTTTTGGTTAAACACGTCGACGATGCACGTAAAAACGCGAGGTGAGCGCGCGAAACCACTTAAAGTGGTGGCCCGTGCCAGGCGTGTATCCCGGTCGTTTCGTTGCCTGGTTGCTCGGGGGGGTTGGGCCGCTGAACAACCCCGAGTGGGGCAGTGGAATTTCCATCTCGGAGTTTGCATAGCCTGTGCCTGTATCCATAAAAATGGCCGTCACACAGCAACACGGAGTGGCCACGGGTGTCTTAGGTAAGCAGCTCCCTCGCCCGGCTCATCTGTGGCTTCGGACCCCTGGGCTTAAGCATCAACAGCCACTGCGGCGCCCCTCTTGATTGTGCGACGACCGATCGATGGGCTCGGAAACGTCGTGGCCAATGTGCTTATTCGTCTCCCTTCTCCATATCGGCTTCGACCTCACCTGAACACCGACATCCCCCATCTGTGAACATCTAAACTACGCTTTTTGCCCTCGTTTTAAAGATTCGAATCCTTTTATCATTGTTTGTCTTGGGTATCTAATCGAGGGTTCTCTAGCTTGTGATTGATGCACCATCGAACCTAGCGGATTATCATGGTCAAATATCAAGCAACCACTTGAAATCGACCTCGAGTGCCACAAAGCACGCCCGTTGAATCGTACAAGCTTTCTCAAGCACTGCAGGCAAGCGATAATCCTGCTGCATTTCAACATGTAGGTAATACAATTTACTTGCAACCACCTTCACACAAGCACTCTACTCAGCATGGCATCCAAGTTGAAACGAATGCTAAGCGCCAAGGACCGCAGAGTCAACCGACAACCGTCTTCGCCGAGTTTACCGAGACTCCTTCAGGCTTTCAGTCTCAATTCCAAGCCTCTTCCGGCACGCCAAATCATGTCGCAGCCCCCCGCTATGCAGGCCAACCTCACTGGTCCTGGTAGGTCCTCATCGTTCCGTGCGGCTCTGTAACTCTTCAGCTGACGATCCCGTTAGCAAAACTAGACGCGGTCAAAAGTTTAATGGACAAACTAGGTGAAGACTTGAAGGAGCCTGTGCTGCTCCCTCGACGTAAAGCTCATCTGACTCACATACATTCCCGAGAGCTTCTGGCTGATTATTGCAGAACGCGATGCTGCACTCGAAGAACTCAAGGTATACGGACGGGATCCCACCAATGCTGATCCGATCTTCACTCAAGAGGTCAGTCTCTCCGCTTTTTTCCAGGTCTTTCGGTACTCATAACCAATAGGGCATTGAAATTCTCGCAAAACACGCGTTCACCAGCCCTTCAAACTCGACAGCCAGAGCCGCTCTGAGAGTTCTGGCTAATTCCATGCTGCTGAACCCTACGGCCCGACAAACATTTGTCCGTCTGGGCTATGAAGACCTGGCCTGTAAGAGGTTGAGAAACGACAGCTTCGATGATGAGTTTCTTGTCTCGAGAGTTATCTTCCTCACAACGTACGGCACCAATATTGACTTGCTGGCACTGATCCAGAAACACCGGCTGGCAGAGATCATTATTGGAAACTTATCCAAACATGCCAAGCTTCTGACAGATCGCGAACCAAAGGCGCCTATTGACCCTATGGAGGATATGGCGTTGAATGAGACTTTGAAGCTGCTTTTCAACGTATCCCATTACTGTCCCTCTGAGGTGGATGCTTTCACGGGCTGCATACCACACATCATTGCCTTGCTCTGGAAGCACGACGTCCCTTCCGACAACCCCCTCAACCCACCTTTCAATGCCCTCGTCAACGCGCTGCTCGAATTGAAGTTGGAGGACAAGGACATCCAAGCATTTATCTACCCCAAGTCCGAACTCAACATGTTGGCGGAGCGGTTGATTGAGATACTGGACCCGGCGCTGAAGACCTACCCCGACAACGAACTCGAGCAGCTTGTGACACCTCTTGTAGGCGTATTGCGCCGGGTCTATGATGGTGCTCCTGAAGAAGTCAAGAAGTATGTCAGAAAGACTCTTCTTCCAACTGAAGAGGACAGGAAAGAGGTTCTTGGTCGCGGTTCATCTTTGACGTCACGGCTGCTGCGTAACTCGACGAACCCCCTGACTCCTCATCTGCGCGACGCCATCTCCCGTCTCCTCTTCGACATGTCAGACCAGGATGCGTCCAAGTTTGTTCAGAACGTCGGATACGGCTTTGCCTCGGGTTTCCTCTTCCAGAACAACATCCCGGTCCCAGCGAGTGTATCTGAAGTCTCCAGCACTGGCGAGGCCCAGATGCCAGTCAACCCCATTACTGGACAGTTTGTAGAGTCCGAGAAGCACGTGGATGTCCCGAAAATGACGGAAGATGAGAAAATAAGAGAAGCGGAGAGGCTTTTTGTACTGTTTGAAAGGTAAGCCAAGCCCGGCTTTTCATTTTGAGCTCATGCTGACAACGTGGAAGACTGCGCAAGACGGGTGTAGTCGATATCCAGAACCCGGTCGAGATGGCGGCGAGATCTGGGCAACTTCATGATTTTGGAGATAAACGAGTAGAGGAAGTCGATGAATGAGCGCTGCGTTGGAACAGCTCGGAAGGTGACTATGGTGGACTACACTTACCTTCGGTGACCGGTCAGTGTATCTTCAATGAATTTAAGCCCATATACCTATCGAAGGCGATATGGTATCAAGCGTCTTGTGGTTCCCCGCACAATTTGCTTAAGTCCGAGTGAAGGCTTCAATCAAATCTACTTTCGCATGGCGCTCCTTGTGCTTACTATATATGCGTGCTTTTTGAACATGTGTCCTGGGCTCCAAGCGCCCAACATCGACAATCCAGGGATGAACGGGTTGTTTGCTCCAAACGCTTTCTTCCGTACTCTTTGGAAACGTTCAGACTCTTTTCTTCTATGGTCTTCTGTCTTTTAAGCCCCTGCATTTGCGTTCTTTGACGCAGTCTATCATTCTTATACCATCACCCTGAGCAAACGGTTTCGCCCAAGGCATTCACGCCCTAGAGCCCTGATACGTAGCCTTGCGCTACCATGCGAAAGAAACATCAGCCAATTGAAGCGGGAGTCGAATCTTTTAGGATCACGCGCCTGCCTGCCTGGCTTCAGAAATCCGATCCGAAGTACCAGTCTATCTGCCTACCTACCTAGGTGGGTACCTAGGTAAGGGGCTTGTACTTCCGTTCTTGTCCAACCTATTCTAGAACGTAAGGTAGGTAGGTACATGACCAAGGCTCTTTCCCAAAGTCTGAAAACAATCAATTCAACCAATCACCTTCATATACAGCCTAGATGGGTACGACTTATTACCGCGCTTCCACCTTCTTACTTCCGCCGTCATTTACCAGTCGTTCCCTCCTTTGTTCAATTGTTCGAGATCATCTTCCCATTCCCTCAGCTCTCTAGGTACTCTGCCAGAAACAAGTCCGAATATCAGAATGTCCGCGCCTCGAGTTTTCAAGGGTCGCGAAGAGGAGATGACGATGGAACAGCTCGCGGCTTCGAGCGCTGCAGCGTAAGTAATGAGGAATAAACCAAGCCAAGCTTCACTTGTACTAATACCTTAATAGAAAGATCCAGTCTACCAGCGGAGGCTCTGAATTTGAGGATTTACCCCTGATCAAATCTGACATTACCTCCAGTCCAGCTGTCAATGCACGGCCCGTCGCCTCTGAGACCAAGAAGCGCAAAGCAGGTCGCCCTCTCAAGGCGAGTAGGGCTGTCAAAAATCTCACATTGGCCGAAAACCCCGAGGTCGCGGTCGGAACTTCGCAGAGCGCTGTCCCATCAGCTGAGAACTCGTCTTCCTCGCCTTACGCGACTCCGGACTCTCCTTCTCTCAATAGGCGAAAAGTTCTCAAGGTCGGCGAATACTTTGAGAATGTGCCTAACCAGCGAGCGACGCCTGTGACTCGGATGCAATCATCTGCTCGAGAGCTCAGCCAAGGTGCCAATGTGTACAACTCCGATGACGATATGAGGGACGACGCTATTCCTGAGCCCGTCTCAGTTCCTACCCGGCGCGGTCGCCCACGAAAGAACCAGACACCCATTCCAGTCAACACAACTGGTAAAGGCAAGTCCAAAACCAAGCTGCCTCGGCTCGTCTCCCGGCGCTTACTCCCCAGGCGATACGCAAAAACTAACCGACGTGGGATCATAGACTCGGTTCGAACCACCCGTGCCTCTGCTCGCATTGGTTCCGAGAAAGCTGCTCCTGCCAAAACCCCTCAGGTTCAGGCTGTTCCCACTAAGAGGGTATTTGCTTCTTGGTTCTTCTTGTTTCGAGATTCCGAACTGACCAAGAGAATGACAGGCTTCTTTATCTTATGGCCGAGGTGTTGGTCGTCTCAAGAAGACTCCCCGCAAAGGAAATTCGGGCACCCCGCAGTTCACCAGGGAGGAGTATGTCGTGGAGAAGATCGTCGGCTCCCGCATCGACCCCATCACCAAAGAGCAGATGTATATGGTGAAGTGGAAGAATTACGCCGCGAAGGACAACACCTGGGAGCCGGTGAATAACCTTGGAAAATGCAGTTCACTTATCAAGACATTTACCGACTCTCAAAAGTCAAAGGGAAAGAGAAAGGGAAGGAAGTAAAGGGTGTTGGCCAGGCCATGTCAACAAGTTGACCCGCATCGTTGTTATCGATGCTCAAGTCGACAACCTGGCTCAAATTTGCGCTTTGCGTCGCGGGTTTATTTTTATTTTGACTTTAAGACGGTCAACAATCATGGAAAAGGGATATCGAGGGCTAAATGGAATAGGAGAGCGCCTTGAACTGGGTTTCCTGGCAGCAGGTTGCTTTCGCGTTCGCATGGGGACGGAATGACGTGGGGTGGTGCAGCTTTGGTATCTGCCGACAGTAGATTGGCCAACTAGTCTAGCTTAGCTCCCCACATGATATTCTCCGACTGGATGATTTTACCATCCCCCCTGGCCTCCAATTCAGGGTTCATAGTGACCTCAACCCTTCCTTCAACGTGTCCGTCGTGCGGTGGCACTCAGCCCCAACAATCGCTGCCTGTTAACTTTTTCCTTCCGCCTCCACCCACTCTCCCGACTCCTGGCATAAACGCTCCCTCAAGGCTTCGACGGCGTGCTAAACCAAAGGTTCGCGATACGCGACACACCCAAAGCAAAACTTCACCGAGTTTCCCTCCCCCGTCAGCAGAAGCTTTACATCGCAAACATGGACGCCGTCCGCTCCGCCCTCCAGCCGATTACCCACAACCTCCCGGCTCCGATCCGCGACCTCGGCGTCTCCATCATCGGCGAGCAATGCTACAAGTCCCTCCTCCTGGACATCAACGTTGAGGATGTCGACTGCATCAAGCTCGGCCTCTCCAAGGGCGTCGGCCTCGGCATCGTCGGCGTCTCGGGCATCGTCAAGCTCCCGCAGATCCGCAAGCTGACGGCCTCGCAATCGGGCGAGGGCATCTCGGTGCTCTCGTACCTCCTCGAGACGGCCTCGTACATCGTGTCCCTGGCCTACAACTACCGCAACCAGTTCCCCTTCAGCACCTACGGCGAGACGGCGCTCATCATGGGCCAGAACGTCATCATCACGGTCCTAGTCCTCAACTATACCCGCCGCGCCGGCCTCGCCGCCGTCTTCGTGACCGTCCTGGCCGCCGCCGTCGCCGCGCTGTTCACCGGTAACCTGGTGGACATGCAGACCCTCGGGTACCTGCAGGCTGGCGCGGGCGTGCTGAGCGTCGCGAGCAAGGTCCCGCAAATCCTGGCCATCTGGCAGGAGGGCGGCACCGGGCAGCTGAGCGCCTTCGCTGTGAGTTTCTCCCCTCTGCCGCTTTTTTTTTTTTCCCTTTTTTTATCCCTTCCCGAGACTTGAGTTGCTGACGTTGCGGGTTTCCAGGTCTTCAACTACCTCGCTGGCTCTCTATCCCGCATCTTCACCACCCTCCAGGAGGTCGACGACAATCTCATCCTGTACAACTTCATCGCCGGCTTCCTCCTGAACGCCGTGCTCGCCGCACAGATGGCGTACTACTGGAACGCGCCCTCCAAGAAGGCCAAGGGGAAGCAGAAGGTCCCCGTCGCCGCCGCCCCTCCTTCCAGCGGCTCCTCCACGGCCACGTCGACGACGCCCAAGAAGGGCCCCAGCACGCGCCGTCGTGGGTAAGTATGTAGCAGGAAACCAAGGTGGCGATCAACTCTTTTTCTTTGGGGGCTATCGTGGGCGTTTAGATACCATGCCTGTTGCTTCGGTAATACAGTGAGCAGATTTCATCGATGCCTAGCCATTGCCTCCCAATGTGTACAAGCTTCCTTTGATGAGTGTTTCCCAACGTGTTTCATTTGATATACTGTTAGGCATGCTTTCCACGCGTCCCCGAAACCATACCCCCATTCCTTCACCATGCCACACCAAACCAAATGGGTATACCCGTAGGCAGTGACCCCAAGATCGTAATCGTAACATCGTCTACTGGCGTTCAGGTTAGAACACAAGGGTCAGCAGGCAGGAAGTAAGGAGAACCTACATCTTAATCCAACAAAAAAAGGCCGCAGCCGCTCAGTTGCGGAGGGCGAGGAGGGAGATCAGGCCGGCCGCGAAGGCCACGACCCACACACCGCAGCCGACAAGCAGCATGATGCGCAAGTTGCGCCTTTGGTGGAAGGAGAGGCCGGAGCACTCTCCGCGGGTGATGGCCGCGAGCAGTGTGTCCCCCGAGAGGGCGAGGATGGCGAATCCCACGAAGGGGAGGACGCCGGTGGTCGCCATGATGGCGTAGTAGAACGCCTTCTGGCGGAGCACCGCCCTCTCGGAGAGCGGGAGGTCTCTGACGCTCGCGGCCATGTCGGCGAGCTCGGAGTCGGTGCCCTGGCCGCCCAGTTGACGGACGGCCTGCAGAGCGCGGTACCTCGCCATCACCTCTTCTGAGTAGAGGTGAGGCGAGGACCTCCGGCCCGCCGACGGGTCGTTGGCCAGGGCCTCGACCGCAGCCTGGTGGCTGGCCGTGGCATTCCGCCTGGCCGTGGCGGCGGTCGAGGCCCGCTCCCTCGACAAGGGGGTTGGGGCCCGCCCCGAGTACTGTGTTGAGCAGTACTCGTGGGCGGGTTGCCCAAAGGTGTTTTCCCGGTGTCCTAGATTGAGGAGAAGAGTTAGAAAAAACGGTTGACTCAAGATAGCTTGGCAGAATGAGGGCTTGTTCATACGAGGGAGCGCCGAGAGGGAACGAGATCTTCGAGTGAGGGTTTCGAACGTGGTGATTCGAGCGTGGGTTTTCGAACCGGAATTCGAACGTGGTAGATTTGAAGCGTTGTTGTTGAAGAAGGAAGAAGGAAGAGAGCAAGACAAGAGCAGGAGGTGTGGGAGGGCAAGAATATATAGGGCAAGCTATGGGTGAGAGAAGCGGGTACTTACTCGTGGTAGAGTGGTTGCGACAGTCAAAGTCTGAGTTCTTAATGCGGGAGAAGATTGAGCGTGCGGAATCCTTTCGCATGGCTGGGCGAGGTAGAGCGTGGCTACCGCCCTGAGAAGACAAAGGCAGGCCAGGTGAGAGGATACGGCCGGAGAGAGTCTGATCCTCAAGACCACTGGCGCGGCGGACAGCTTGGCGTCTGGCAGCATCCTCAAGGGCGACCAAGGGGAAGGGGAGATTGGCGTATGCGCTGTTAGCTGGTTGTGTTACTTCCATGGCTTGCTGCGCCCGTTCTCGCTCGGCACGGATGCGGGGCCATGAAAAGTCTCTGTATGGGGTAGGCATGGGCTCCAGCTCAATCTCCTCCCATCCTTCCTGGTTAAGCTGTCTCTGCTGGAATACACGGCTTGGGGGTCTGATAAAGGAAGGAGATGGAGAACGCGAAGGCATCGAAAGAGGCTGGTTGCTCTTCTCCCACCAGGCCTTGGTAGCTGAGGTCTTGCGACTGGTAGGAGCTCCTGTGCGCTGGTTCTTCTGGACCAAGAGTGTGTCAGAGACGTTGGCAATGCTGCTGCCAGTCATAACACGACCAACAGCACCAGTAAGGAATTCACGGTCATCAGTGACGGTTCGCCAGTCTTCGTCTCCCTCAAGGCCTGTTCGGTTCTCTGTGTCGCCCGATGCCACTGTTGCCATCCGAGTATTGTCAATAGCGCTGTAGGGCTCTGTGGCTTGCATGTCGACCTCATCTACATTTTGTAACGTTGAGACAGGAACCTTGATGCCGGATTGAGTGATCTGCCAGTTTGATTGTATGGCTGGGGCGTGATAAAAGTCTTTCTTTTGTTGACTGGAACGCATGCGGTAAGGTGACTGCTGTGAATTGTATGTCCGTGAAGATAGGCCTTGACGAACAATGAGACCAGTAGAAGGCAGACTGAGTCCGGTTGCATGATGAAGAGCCCGGGAGACCTCCTTCTCAGCATGAGGGCGCAAGAAGACCTTGTTGTCCTCAGGTTCGGATGGCTGAGCATCAGTGTCTGAAGCATGGGATGATATGCCTGAGAAAGCATGAAATGGGTTCAGACGACTGACAGAAGCCTTTCCTTTGTCCTCGCCAATAAACTGGCCTTCTGAGATATCGGAGATATCTCCTTCATAATGAGACTCAGGGCGGGTAGTATGCTCTGTGATAGAGAAAGCCTGCGTTGCAGGGATAGCGGGAGGGGGCAGAACACCGCGGTCGATAAAGATTGGGTATTGAGTGCCGTTCTGACCAGAAAGATGAGTAGCTTCAAGATTATCGAGAGTATGCTTCTTCTTGATGACATCATCCAAGTGAGACTGGAGCAACTGCTGGGGTGGGTGCTTAGAGTCTGGAGCAATGGGGGGAGGTAGAGTGGGAGATGATGCAAGAGCAGGAGAAGACTTGGGCTCGAGTTTGACCTTGTCTTCAAAAGAATCGTCATCAGTAGAGGCTGGGTAATAATCATCGCCATCTTCCGGATAGAAGGAAGAAGCATCTGGGCAATCGAATGTTGCTTGCTGACCACTGAAGGGGTTGTCAGTAGCGTTGTATTGGTTGACTTGGTCCTTGGATTCTTGGATAGAGGAGACCGAGCTGTCAACAAAAGCGTTCTCATTGTCCGATCGACAGAGGGAGACAGACGCATGGGGGCCTTGGTCGGTCGTCTTGGTCTGAAACTCAATGGCGGAGGCGGAAGATTGGTTGGTGAACTTGCTCTCATGGCCAGACTGGTTCTCTGCAACAGACTGCTGTGGCTGTTCCGCTTCATCCTGTCCCTTGAGCTGTCTGGATGCGTTGGATACTTTCAGGATTTCTTCAACTTGCTCTTGGGTGAGTTGCTCCTCAACGCGAAGCTCTTCCTCGATCGGAGTTCTGGGAGTGACAGGAACAATGTGTCGATGTGCCTCGTTGAAAGAATTGTACAGAGGTCGGTTTGGTGTGAGAGACCGCTTAGATAGCCGCTGAACAAAGTCAGTTCGAAGCTAAAAGCTCAAATAAAACAAATAAGGGACGCTTACCTCTTGAGTATCCTGATTGTTCGACATTCTTGCAATGGATGAGTCCTTCTGTGTTGCGTAAAAGTAGAAGGGGCAAAAGATTTTGCTCTCTTGGAATGTTCTGGAGTTGATGAGGACAAAGGATATTCGACTGAGTGCCTGTGTCTTTCCGCAGGGAGTAGAAAACCCTGAAGATGCTGAGGCGCTTGTTTGGATAAAAGTCTGTGAAATTGCCCGGCAGAACTTTTTCTTTTGTTCAGAACGCAGTCCAAGTGAGATAAGGGGGAAATTAGAGTAACAGAACAGGCAAGAGTCGTTAACGGGCTGTGTGAAGTCGGTGGGCAGCCACAGTCCTCCAAGATTAGAAGTGAGCGACCATTCAAAGTTTTGATGGTGTAAGTTGTGCTTTCCAAAGAATAATCTTGAAGAGCTGACTTTGCAAAGTTCTGGTGATTCTGGTCAAGGCCCTTTTGTAATGCAATACTCGCTTGTGCGTTTGAAGCTTGCAAGAAGTCTTGGTCGCAACAAAAGTAGAGAGATGAGAGAGTGCCCTCGAAACAAAACAAAAAAAGCCGATGTTGAGTTTGGAGAAGAAAGATGAGAATATTCTCAGGTTGCAGACAGAATATTGGATGGGTGAAAAGGAAAAGTGTGAAGGAAAAGATTGTGGGTGAGAGGGTTACGGGTGAGAGGGTTGCGGGTGAGAAGAATATCTCAAGACGCGGTAGGGGGGAAAGATTGAAGAGAAAAAGGGGCAGCAGAGGTGTGTGACAGAAGTTCATCTGGTGCTTCTGTTTGCAAATAAGGAAGGAGCAACAACGCGGTTAGACTTGGTCGCGTGGCCAGGAGACGTGATGCCGGGTTCAAGATCGCGGCCAGCACAAATGTAAAGACCGGGTCTTCAGAGCCCTCCCTTCTCGGTAGGCTGTCTATCACCCCCATTCGTGCTGCACTGCAGAATTATAGCTGTACTCCTCAAGTCAAAGAATGAACAGAAAGCTGCGGCTCTGCAGCGTCTTGGTTTTGTATGATAACGCCCCTAATGTGAGTACTGGCCTGTACTTGAGTGTTGTACCTCATGTTGGTCGAAATCGAATACCGTTATCCACTGCGAGCCACATTAGGAACAACATCCGGGCTATTTCAAGATCGGTAATCTGACACTAGGGAAGCGAATGGTATGCACCAATGTCTGCTCCGGCCACTTGGACCTCAGAGGGGACAAAATCATGTACAGATAATTGTTAAGTAATTGGATCAATGAGTTGAAGGAAGGCAACCAGACCATTGTGAGAGCCTTGGTTGGCTTTCGTGGCTAGCGTAATAAGTGCCTTGACCACGCCACTATTAGCCCTCGACTCATTCTCGCTTTTATGTTGAAGTAGCCATTTATGAACTGGTTGACCCAGAATGCAAATAACATATTAGTTGATGATTGAGAATGATAACAAATCCAAGAAGAGCCTGGTAATTAATAGTTTTCTCAACTAGTCATTGCAGTACTTGTTGATGAGAATGTACGAAACCAAATTGGAGATATATTAGATGATGGGGTTGGAGAAGATGAGGCTCTTGATGGCCAACCTTTCAGTTACGGAGATTCTTCTCAATGTCCATGTCAAAGCGCATACAAAGACTCGACTTGGAGACAAAAGGTAGTTTGGTCTGTTTATAACGAATACTTCTACAAAGAATAGTTTATCCGTTGCTGGAAGGCGCGTTCAACAAACCATTTCTACCTTGACTTGTATTGAATCTTCCAGGCAATGTCGTTATCGCAGGATGTGGAAAGCACGTCCGTCCTACCGGCAACTTGGGGGCTATCGAGACAAGTCTACCGGGAAGGAATGAGACGTCGTCGGAGTAGGCAGGCACATCCAGCAACCCACAGGCCAATGGCCGGAGGTCTAGACTCCTGGAGGAGCGAGGAATTGGTGAGATGCGATAAGATATAGTCAGATAAGATATCGATAAGACCGAACCCTAGAACTTTTTGTTTGTTTATTCTACCTACAGGGTGTACCTAGGTACCCAACCAACCAACCGGTAAATGGTAGTAGGTACCTAAGTATCTACCAGTTGGGTAAGGGGAGGGGGACCCGATTTCACAGGTAGTTAATGGCCTCTAAAACCGCTTTTCCACTCCGCGTAGGGTATCGTCGGCACATCTGAGGCGATTGTTTCTCCGTCCACTACCGCCGCCCTCACATATCTCAGCGTATTTCAAAGACTCCAAAGTTACAAACAATCCTTCAGCGGCGTCTATTTTCCATTCCAATGTCATGCATCTCCACCTGTTTACTCTCAAATCGAGAACTGCCGACGGTTTTGGCTCGAACCTTCCGCAACTTACGATCAACAGAAGCCGCCGGTCTCTCATATCCAATTCAGCGAAGGGATGCCGACAAGTCTGTCGATCGCGACAAAGGATCTGCTCGTGCGTTGCCGATCTACAGAAGACGAAACAAGTTCGTTCATCGAGTACGGCAAATGACCTTGGGGCGGCATCGCGCACACGTAGCGTCAGACTCCAAAATCCCCGCAATATTCACTGAGGGAGGGGAGGCCGGCATGCTATAATCATGGATTCTGGTCCAAGTCTCGACGAAGACACGAGAAGGTACGAATAGATAAACTCTGGCTTGTCCGCAGTCCGTGCTCGTCTTGTTCGAGTCTAACAGGGCCTCACGACAATTGACAGGCGCAAGCACTTTATCGCGTTGCAGGCTTCACGATGGAAAGAAGGGTGGGATTGCATACCTACTTCGTACGGGTGGGCCGTAGTGTTCTTACATACGGTACTACGGATACGTACATGACGCCTCTGTTCGGCTGAGACTCGACGAACAGATGAACAAGCAAGATCCCAAACTGGGCAAGCCGAAAAAGCAAGGATCGCCACCGGACTGGACGCCCGGGACCCATCCCTGATGAAGACAAGGCGAAGAGCATTGTCGCCCCGAGTGCCACCAATGCAGCAGACCCGACCCTTGCAAGCTCACCATCTCGTCGAGCTGCATCAACAACAAACAAATGGAATAAATCCTTGATGCATCGCAAACACATGGCATGGGCATGGCATCGTGGCGTAGCCGTGGATCGGATTTCTGCTTGCAGTACTCCGTACGGATATAGTACACTGGCCCGACGACGAGGTGCAGGAGTCAGCTTCCCGGTCATATTTGGTCATGCCTTGCCAATTCGATTGGGCTTGTACCGGAATCTGTCCCGCGGAGCGTGGGTCTCGCGGAGGCGTCATGGATGATGGGCAAGCTTGAATCCGTAAGTCAGCAACAAGAAGAGAGGCTGGCATTGCGTTGCTTCAGTGGGATGGCAATCTCAGTGGATGACAATCTCTTCAAGGGTCCGAGTATTGGAAAGCCTCATCTAAGGAGGCGACCAGAGCCGACGAGGGAGCAACATATGCACGGAGATGAGGCAACCAATGGAATCCCGAGGCCTGGGATGCAGAGCCAATCATGCAGGGCCAAAATCCAGCCCCTTTGCTAAAAGAGATCTTGTTGAATACCTAGGTACGGCCCAGGTTTCGACTCCCTCGCCTCCCTGCTCTGCTGGCGGCACCGCTCGCCCTTTGCATGTCTCGACTTGGATTCCCACCCTGTCTCCCTCTTCCGATCCTGTTTCGAGTCGGCGGGACGCCGAACTTGCGGCGGACTCGCGAATTCCCATTGTCTGCCCACAATGGGGGTACACACAACTGCGAGACACAAGAAGAACAAAATGAAAAAGAATCAGAAAAGCTATTGGGTTGACGGCCTACATATAATACGAGACGCATCATCATCATCATCATCATTACCATCAAGCCTGCCATGCTGTTGCATGCGTGCATGCATACATGCACGTACGCATAACCAGCAATGTCCTGCCCAGTCAGCGCAGCACCACCTTACCACTGAGGCGTGCAATGACAGCCAGTCTCGGTGGGCACAAGGTTGGGGGCGAGCTGGAGCTTACACTGCGTAGGTTCGTCAAGTTTCAACAACTATCCGCCTGGAGGCGCCACGTTCCTTGCACCGGTCGGGGTGGGCGGCAGCGATGGCCCTCGCACTAAATCTGCGATGCGCAACGCCGCATACGCATATCCGTCTTAGCTCCCTCCCTCACCGCTCAGGACCGCCTGTCGTCCGCAGCCCGGCTATCGTCCACCCAAAGCTACATTCCTTTTGTTCTTCTCGTTGGGATTCTGCAGATGAATAGCCAGGGGGAGGGAAGGGGGGCTAGATGGGCCTTGCAACGCTGTCCTGCCATGAGCTGGGTCTCTCCATGCATTTATCTCTCTCCAAAAGAACAGACTGGTTGACGGAAAACGGCGGGATGACCTGCTTCTCGCCTCACTTCTTCCGCCCTCGGACTGGCTCTCTGTTTCGTTTCGTTGGCATGGTTCTCCCAAGCTACTCATTCCTCGTTAGTTACCGTACTTAACCACAACACCCGGGGCCGGCCACCCTTCTCCACCGGTGTTCATGCGGTTTCCGGGCGCACATGACACCCAAACCAACACAGACCCCCCGTATTTCACCTTGAGAACCCCCCGGGCTTTCCATCCTTCGTCCTTCCCCGACACCCCGAGCTTTGCCCATTCCCTCCAACTTCGCCCTTTTCCACCATTCGCAATATCTCAAGCATGTTCAATGGCGTTTTGGGTGGTTGGCGGGGAGGCAAGCCCATTGTCCCAGTGCAACGGCCACGCCTTCAGTCCCGATCTCTACGTTGTGGGTGGCAAAAGGAGGATTGGTCATACTGATGAGGATGCTTTTTACGACGACTATCCCTACGCACACGACGAGACGCCTCCGCACAAGAGAACCCGGATATCGCATCTTGCCCCAGGCGCACACCGCAATTGCTCACCGAGGGGTTCGGTGCCTGTCCAGAACCTGTCTTTTCTGGTCATTCGAGAGCAAGCGTCGCCGTCACCCGACCCAGCCGACGCCGATGTCAGCTCATCGCAAATGGAGCGAACCGCCTCCGGCCTCTCCATTTCCTCAGACACAAACATTTACAGCGCCCAAAACGACGATGATCTGACGCTTCTGGACGACGACGCCGCGGCGAGACTGGTTGAAGATCGACTGCACCTAGGCCGGCGACGTACGAAGGACACCCAGCATGAGAGAATCCTGCGGTCCCTCATCCGCCCACGATCCCGGGATGCCGAATTTTCCATTGACAACGCTGCTTTGGAGAGCATTTTCTCTGCCGCCAATGAAATCTTCTTCCACAACAGCTTGTCGCAACGCGTCACATGGGACTGGTCTCATGCATCTAGCGCTCAGTATAAGGATCACATCATCGGCACTACGGCTCTTCGACGTTCTAAAATGGGAGGCTTTGAGACTCTCATCGTTCTATCTAACCCAATCCTCAAGAACAAACAGTACAACCGGCGGCTGCTCATTTCTACGTTTTTGCACGAGCTCATCCACAGCTATCTCTTTATCAAATGCGGTGTCAAAGCTCGCGAATGCGGAGGCCACACGGCGGGTTTTCGAAGGATCGCCGAGCTCATAGATCTCTGGGCAGGCTCAGACAACTTGCACCTCCGAGATATGGAAGCCGACCTGGACCACTTTCGGGAAGATCAAGATTACTTCCCAGCTGACGACATGAATTCCATGAACACAACATTCAGGGCCGTGTTTCCCGAGGTCCATGGACACCTTAGCCCTCACCATCATACACACTACGAACACCAATATCACGAGCGATCTCGATATCAATCCCAAGAACGATGGGACTATTGCATCAACGACCACCGCGAATACTTCCCGGCCAGTCGGGGCAGCAGTCCCACCTCCCCAATTCCTACGACAACTGAGGAGGACTCGGAAGATGTGGATCCTTTGGAGGAAGGCGAGATACGCGAGCGACGTGGCCGACGCTTATGCCCAGATGACTACGTGCCCAGCAGGCGTTCGTCGAACCACCGCGAACGACATTATGAGTCACATGACAGGCCTATTTCATATGACGGGCGATGGGCCTGTCCCGACGACCGGAGAGGGATCGTTGTAATGGGTTATGGCAGCACTTCAAACTCGGTCGCCTCACCATACGTTGGGGGATGTCGAGATGCATCTCCGACCTGCTTATAGGGCGTTATTCACACCACTTTTTTCTTCTCTTTTGTCTGGGGCTCATAAGAGGGCGGTCGGATTGGTTTCAAAAGCATCTTAAGCATGGCGACGGAGTTATTCCATATACTACTGCGGGCGTCTCTACTACCATGGGGGGTTTTCTGGTGCATCATTATGGGTTGGCGGACGGAATATCATACCAGGCTATCATCTTGTAATCCCGCTCGTCTTCTACCTCGTCATTAACTAGACCATTTATCTACGGGCCCGTCTTCTAGACGGGCAGCCACACTACCCCTCCATCATTCGCATCAAGCAAGTATTGGCTTCATCACTGGTTTTCTCCGTGCTTTGGGCAACCGGGCGGTTGCCGTTGACGGCAATGCAGCATCGAAACCCGCTATAAAGCGTGCAAACCACGCTTGCACCGTCCATCGTCGCCGACGACGCGGATCGAGTCGATCGAGCCTCTGCTTCGAAACCATGCGCCTCTCTCGAGAGCGCTTTTTGAGGGGAGCGTGCCCGCGCCTGCGACAGGTGTCAGATGTGCCGCACGTACCCAAGCGTCGCTACGGACCAGAGTTGAATTTACAAAATGATGCTGCCAGCGACACGATCGTCGAAAGAGAGAATTTCAGAAACAAACGGCTGGAAAGCACGCACACACACATACACATACAATAACGTGGCAGACTGAAATGGCAGAACCGAAGCGAGCCAGGTTCCTCCCACAACAATGCCCACACCATTCTCAGAAGGCTCGCCAAGATGACCCCCTTCAACCGCACTCATACAACATCAACGATGTCGCCATCACGTTATCCGAGAGTATCTGCGGACCGGTTCAGTGGAATGCGTGCGAGAAGTCGCTGAAGAACAGTGTCGCCCGCGTTTTATCCGATCAAGGCACCGAAACGGATCCGAACATCGTTTCACCCGGCACGATTTTCTCTCTCATGAAGGCCATCGATGAGTTGTGCCTTTTGGGCCTGCTCTTCCCGACATCTCAGATCAATCACGTGTCCCACCCCGTACTTGTGGAAGTCGGACAAGCACGGGGTCGTGTCGGTTGGACGCAACCTCTCCGGGGTCACAAGTCGTCTGGGGGCCCCAGCATCGCGATCCGTCTGAGCACGGTCCGCTACCACCCCAACGGCACGAGGACGCAGTTACCACTCAAGGAGCTTGTTCAAATTGCGGTCCACGAGATGGTGCATGCGTATCTGATATTGTTCTCCTGCCGCCGGGGGCAGTGTGAGGTTGACTTTGACGTCATGCATCGCAACGCGGACGGCGGCGGACACGGCCTGGCGTTCGTCGCGCTGCTGAAGGCCGTCGTGTGCCAGATCCAGAGCTGGGCGCCCGGACTGGGGGACTTTGGGCTGACAGACGAGGCAATCCACCCGTACGAGGACTTTGGGCTCGAGCTGTGGAAGAGAGGGGACAGGGTCTCGTCCCGGGGCAAGGGGCAGCGCGTCTGGTGGCTTGCTGCGAGGCCGATGTAAAGCCGGAGGTATCAACATTGTCGAAACCTTGACAGGAACGATTAACTGACGTATGGACTGTTCTGTTGCCCTGCCTAACAAGCGATCGGTGTCGTCTTTGAGGAGCCTGTGGACTTTGTACCAGTTGCAAGCTTGCGGATTGTTTCGCTTCCCTCCCAGACTTGTTGGTTCTAGGACGTTGGGTAGTGGAAAAGCCCGGCCAAGTGAGATGGTGGCGTATAACAAAACCGCCACGAGATGTGACAGCAGGTAGTTTGAAATGAGAATTGTGAAACCTAAACAAAATTGTTGTAGTTTCTGTGTATTTGTTTCTGATATGCTCCTTCAAGCCGAATATGGGTTTCTGCGCCAAACCCCTATTCTGTAGATGCTCGTTCAGAGATATATATCTACCATGCGTTATCGGCACCATTACAAGGTCAACGCAGTTGGCGGAGATCGGAGCTAGCAATAGCATGACTCAATGATTCGTCTTGAGCTAGCCTCGTGCAGTAATGAGCTGTCTAAGTTGATAAGATGCAAAGGCAGAAAAGCTGCTCCAGTTTGAAGCTACTTCAGAGGTCGCGGTAGCATGCAATGCCGCAATTCAACACCGCAACTCTTCTGTTTGTATTTCCCATCGTATACCTATTTAGACTCTCTACTTGTTTCTAGTTACTTCTTCAAAACTAGCTGTGAGTGCTGACAGCATGTACTAGTTGCCTAACCACTGATCGGTCGATCTGTCGACGGAACCTTGGACGAGTGGAGGTGATTTTCAGCTATGCGCCAAGGCCGGTCGTGAGGTAACATTTTTTCTTTTTCTTTTCCCCTTCTTTTTTAACCATCTTGAGTCAGGATTTGGAAATTTCAGCTCAAGGCCTGAAGGTTCGCAGGAGAGTCCTGTTGCGTACTTTTCCTGCTGTTGTCGGTTATAATATCCATAAAGGCCTTGCAAACTTGCCTAGGCGGTCTGGAGGCCCTACCCCTTAAAAAACCCCTTCCTTGTTCTCAACCTGAGGTCTTTGATGCGACATCAGCATGGATCCCGAGAACCGACCTCGGGAACAAAGCCCTCTTGTGAAGACGCTGGGTTGTGAGGACGTAGGACCTGCACAGAGGCAGGGCCAAGACATTCAACACGGCGTGTTACCAGATCAGAGCCATGCCCCCTCAGAGGGCGGCACGGCGCACTAGTTTTGAAGGGCTAGTAAGGATCTATTTGTGGTCGTCTCCGGTGTCTCTGCAGTCGCCCGCCCAGCTTTTTCTTCTCGCATTCACTTTTCCTGATGTCGCAGGCCGACGGACAGAAGATAGACGGTCGCCTTGATGCGCGGTATCAGAATGCGGCCGCCATCGGAAGTGCTCTCTGCCCGAAGCATGTCGTTCGGTGAATGGAATCATTGAAGGGGGGAAGTCTAGCTCGCAACCCTCTCCCAGATCAGTTTCGCGACAGTCGCCGGCCGTATGATGGCGCAAGCCGCGCGTTGAAAACTGGAAAAAGGAGCGGTTACGAGGAGAGTCCTCGAGCACCTGATGGGTAGCCGAGGCGTGAGCGGCGGGCACTCTTGTCGTTCGCTATCAGCTGCGAGTCCTCGACCTGGTCGCGCTCTTCCTCGTGCCCACCTGAGCAGTCTCGCCTCTTGGCGGCCAGTCTATCCTGCGCATGCTTGAAACCCGCTCCGGGACTGTTGCCCGGCCGGCTGATGCGGTTAATTTCAACACCCAAGCTCAGTTCCGGGGATTACGGCAACCCAGACTAGAGTCATGTCTCGGCAAGCGGCACGGAGCGGGAGCTCTCGTCTCTCGTCGGCGTCGGCGTTACACAGGTCGCGGAGGGTAACACCACTCGCTGGAGTCGAGCCATATTCACCTCTAATACGGCAACATGAACGTGTGTCTTCCTTCGGCGAAGGCCCGGGGCTCTGGCACTACCTTTTTCAAAAAAAGAATTCTAGTTCGACGATGTTTCACTGTGCATATGTGACATGACCACCACGGTTCAGTTGTAAACGGGACCTGGCAGGGCTAGAATCTAATTTTCAACGGCACGGGCCGGGGCGGGATAGAACCTCTCTTTGGGAAACTTTGTCGTATGGATTGTGGGACGGCTATGACTTGTACATCCGGCGAGGTTTGAGTGCTGAAGACGCAAACAGAACCGGCATTTGCGTTTTGTGTGAAGGCTCTTCAGTCAGTTATTAAACGTGAACAAAGTCGAGAAATGATATATCAGGCCAGTTTTGTGACATTTTCAACAATGCTCCAGTCTCAACACGAAACCAACTCATTGTTCCATTCTTTGTCGAGCCAGGCCATCGATCGTCGTGTAGGTCGGCAGTCGGGTCAAATCAAGGCGCAACTCTGGCCCTGGCCTTCAAGGTCGAAAGCCGAACAATGGCTTTCCGGTATTGGCTTCTAAAGAAGTGCACAGTTATAAGTATCACGGCTGTCCGCGCCATTGAATCTCACAATCCTTTCCAACCATTCAAAAGACGGCAACATCCGAGCCAGTCACGTACAGTCGGACGGAAGCCATGAAGAGATATAACAGCGGACCTCGCCAGACAGACGTCGTTCTTCGTCCTTGCGTTGTTCACATGAGTAACAGAATGCCCGGTTCTAGCTCCGAACTTCGGCCGCACGGTCAGTATGGCGCCTACTACATTGACGACTTGGTGACGAGAAGCATTCAACATGGCCTCTCTCTTGATGCAGAGGACGCAGTCGATGCCAAAGACAAATTGAAATACGCCTTGATCGAAGGGCTTCACGAGCTCTACGACAGCCAAAGCCAAGAGCACCTTGACCACATGCTCGAGGTGGCGAGGGTCGTTGATCAGTATTTCCTGCAAGGTTGGCTCACCCACACCCACAGACGCCCGTCCGGCCAGGAGATAGCCTACCTCCGAATCGATATCCGAGACGGCAATGAGAATTGCGAAGACTCATGCAGCAGCTTCCGAGTCGGGGTGCAGAGCGACGGCGTCGGGTCGCTTCCCGTCGTCGATGTCGACATCGAGGCTGCAGGGGCGTGGACCATTGGGCGGATTGTTGAGATGATGATCCACGAGATGGTGCACGGGTATCTTCTGCTGTTCTCGTGTCGAGGCGGCTCCTGCCAGGAGTTCGGGGTTTGCTCCCAATACTCTCATGACAAAAGAGGACGGCATGGATGCCATTCCCGCACGTTGTTGAAGCACATATACGAGAGCATACAGGAGTGGGATGACGCCCTGGGCGGCTTCGGGGAGGACTTTATTGACGGATGCGACCAAGAAAGACAGGATGATGTGTTGGTTGATGTGAGGAACCTGTACTCGTAATACATAGAGTGAAAGAGCCTGGGCGGGAAATGGGGTGGGTGTTGATCATCTAGAGCGACAGTTCGTCGTAATAGAAAAACACGTCCGTGCACCGCTCCGAATATTCCGCCGACATGTTCAGTCGGGCGGGAATGGTATTTGTGGTCTTCTCTCTCGGGCTCGGAAAAAGTACCGAGAGTTGGAGGGGCGAGATCCTTTCAAACTTGATGAGCGTTAGGAAACCTTGACGGCCCCGGGGATGCCGTAGGAGGCATGGAAGGGCTCTTGCGGTTCCAAACAAATAGCTCAGGGCAGCTTCACAAATTCACGCGAGCTTCATGGTGTGTATAAACCGATAGTGGGTCGTCGCCTTGTCCAAAGATTCCGCTGGATTAGCAATCTATCCGACGTCCTATGTGCTGTATTAGAAACCGCGTACAGTTGATGCATGCATGGTCAGCAATATATATATATATATATATGTATATATATTAAAAAATTGTAAACCACAAAACATAAAACATAAACATCCCAGTGTCTTCCTATGGGGGCTCAGAAGAAAGTTGTGCAATTGTGACTGAGTCTTCCAGACCCACGGTAACGATTGGTATGGGTTGATCTAGCTCGCTTGTCCTTTCGTACCGCAATACGCGCTCAGATAGCTCGACCAATCGCGACGGGTCATACAGAGGCTAAGCTGCTGACCGCATGTGCGGGCAGCGTGGCGACTAGACCGGATTCGGACCTGGCGCTAGGTATATCAGAACCGTTCCTGTGTGTACCAGTTACCAGGACCTCGGAGCCGGATTTTATAGTCTGACAAGCTGACAAGTTAGGTAGCTTAGCTCAAGCCTATAATTTAGCCTTGGAGTAGTTACATGCGTTGTTATACTTTTCTGATTGGATATGTTGAATCTACCTATCTGCCTTCTCATGTTCCGATCTTGTCCGCATCCACCTGTCATTCCTCAGGACACGTTATCGTTTATTTTCCGTCGGCAATTTCAATCAACCCACTTTGAGCGCGCTAAACCCGTTCATGATCTGCGGCTGGTTGAAGCAACGGGGTATACGGAGTATATGTTCGTTGGCTGAACTCTAAACAGCGAATATTACCACCATCTTATCTCCCGATGGGTTTTCCATGAACCCGGGAAACCCCACTCGCGCCTGTGCAAGTGAAGCAGAGCCTCCATGGTAACCCTGAGTGGAACGGTCACTTGAGAAATTCGATACCGCCCGAATAGACATGCCAGATTAGGACAATCGTTCCGCCGGAGACCCCGATGCCGCACATGCGACCATCAGCGTACCGTTGGATCCCGGCTTTAAGATCGGCGGCTCAACACGTCACGAATGCCTGATTCATCACAGGCGCCTGCCTTGGTTCTGTTGACCGCCATGACCCCGCCGCTGCTCATCTGGAATCGATCCAGAACATGGCGAGGTCAGGAATTCCGGTGTCGAACTAGACTGCGAGAATGCAACTAGGTTTGATAGCCATGTGATTTGTTTTTTTGTGGCCCCTAGTCACTGGATCTCGGACTTTCTAAACCCTAGGCGAGGCGGCTGTATCCGCAACTCGCAAACTCTACCAGTATCGGTCGGGGGTTCTTCTGCTTCAACATGATAATGATGTGCATGTGACTGAGACAGTAAGTAGTCTGGGGGGGGGGAAAATCCCCGGTGGTCAACGTCATCTTCTATGGTGATGTGTCTTCTCCGAGCCGAGTTAAAACTGACAAGTCACCAACGCCTGCCGCACAGTCCCTTTCTACGTGCTCACAGCTGGCCTTCTTTCTCCACACGACACCAGGTCTAGTGTAACGACACTTGGTAGGAATCCCAAGACCCGGGCCATTCGAGTCGTGGCCCTGTGCGGTGGTGGTAAGTGAGCCAGGGCCCTAGTTAGCAGCGGGCGAAACCCGTACACGGGAAGTGGTTAGGGCTAGCAGACGTCGATCGTCATCTTCAGCAGTCGGGGGATGACTTCCACAGCGGGAAATTCTCAAAGAGTCCACGCCAGCATGACGGAAAGGAATTATTGTGGTGAGTACATATGTATAGCGTAGGACAGCTCGTCTGTTCCATAAACTACATGGCGAGCTGTCTGTCGCCTTTGTTGTCGATTTCTTATTTTTTTCCCCTCTTTTTTTTTTTTCTCTCTCTCCCTCTTCGAGATCTCTCTTTCTCTCTTTCCAAGCTCCATTGCCCATGCGCCGATTGATACAAGAAACACCCAAACTATGACAAAAGAAAAAGCCGATGTGTTATTGCCATAAAAAAATCAGATTGCCACCCAGGGGGTATCTCATGCCTTTTCTTCTTCTTGCAAATCGCCAACCCAACTCGTAATCAAAATTATTCCCTCATTCGCTCGAAGAGCTCGCCAATCTGGTCCTCGAAGGGGGCCAGCGGATGCTTCTCGGCTAGCCCAAGGTCTTTCAACTTGTATCTGGGGTTGGCCGTATGCATCGCCAACAGGCCCCGGACGCTGTCGTGCATAGATTGCTCGTACTGGCCGCGTCCCTCGAGGATCACGGCGGCTCGGTTGGCGGCTTCAACCACCTCGTTCTTGATCACTTCGAGTTCGACAAGCACAGGCCGGCCGGTTGCCATTGCGCGGTTGTGTACGTAGTTTCTGGTGTCGCCGCTGAGCTCCTCCTTGTAAAATCTGAGACGACCGTGAGCAAGGTGTTACAGGGGGGGTGTTTAACTTCTGCTATTCGGCGGGGACTTACGACAAAACGTCATTCGAAATGTCAATAAACCTGGCCATGTCAGGGATTGCTTCCAGGTATTGCTCGACGTCGGGATACTGGGCCTTGGGGAAGCAGAAGACGGCGAAGGCCACGTTGATGCCCGATAAGTCCCTGACAAAATCGGGGAACTTTACCCCGGCTCGCGTGATGTTCATGTTCATGAAGCCCTTGTGGCGCTCCAGCAGGTTGCACGTCAAGAACTTGAGGGTAGATATTTGCAGCAGGTTGGCCATGACAGGGTCAAACCAGCGAGGAGCCTCTCGCATCAGGCTCGCCAGGCCCTCCAGCATGGCATTCGGCTGCTTCTCGCCCTTGAAGAACCGCTCCTGGAAGAGCTGGGCCTCGGCCATCTCGTCGTTCTGGCCGACAATGTCATCGTACTGCACGACGAGCCACGTAAAGAGTCCAACGTAACCCTGCACTTCTGTCGGGTGGTTAGGATGGCAGAGCTGCCGCCTCGTCAGCAATTGGCTCGTTTTTCTTGGAAGAGGGTAGACAATTCGGCGGTGAGAGGCTGTGAGATAGTGGGAAGGGCGGGGGAGGTAATTTACCAGTCCTAGCGAGTGGCCCAGCCGGAACGCCTTTGCGGAGATGGGGGTGTCGAGAGGGTAGCCGATTTCGACGGCCCTCTTGTACATGTATTGTAAGAGCGCTTCTACCGATTCCTCCTTGATCTGCGGGACGCCAGGATATCTCAGCCCCTTCAGCATATCTGTGCAGATGGGCTTGACGAGAGAGGCCAACCTCTCCGGCGCCGTTGCCAGGTCGTCTTCGGACCGGGTGCGCTTCGGGGAGAACATCCCCCACAGCGAGCCCAGCATCCGGAACATCGGGCTGCCAGCCGCGACGGCGGCGTCGTGAGCCCCGGGTGTGAGCTGGGACGGACTAATCATGGTCGCAGCGGTTTGACCCTTGGTGTGCTAGGATCCTTCGTTGGGCAGGAATGGGCAAGAAGGAAGAACGAACGTGGAAGGATACTACGGGGTTAAAAGAGTCGGTGAAAGCCGACGGATGGTCTAGAAGGAGCACAGACTTGAAACTAGCAACTATGTCCATGGAGCACAGACAGACGGGGGAGACCTTGATCTTTATGGATAGCGTCGGAGTGTACGTAGTATAGGAATCCAGACGACATAGGCCGTTTCGGAGGGTTGTGGGCAAGATACATTGCTCATCTCCATCCCGAGCAAGCTGACTGGAACGACAGCCAGATGGTCGACTATTTTCATCCCCGTTGTATGCGGGTTTGGGGGTACCTCGCTAAGTGGTTTACGTTGGTAGGTTCGTCGAAGTGCGGGATGGAGTAGTAACAGCCGCCGTTGCCAGTACCATTGATCCTGCAGGTTTGGGCCGTACGATACGATATGGGCACAGACTTTGCATGTACTTGCCCACTTGACGCAGGATTGTGGGGGTGAGCTTGCCAGGGGGACGTTTGGACGAATCGAGGGCAACTCGAAAAGTGTCGGTGGACGGCTGCGCGGCAGGTAAAGAAGACGGGTGCATACGCACACACCTGATCACGGGAAACGTGGCCGGAGGAGAGTCCGGAGCCCGATCCTCTCTCTCTCTCTCTGTTTGGTGGACGGGCAGGACAGCTGGGAGACGAGGGCGGCAGACTCGAAACGTCGCGTCAAGCACCCGAACCGCAGACGTCTCGTATCTGGCCTTCCCAACATGAGCCCCATTCCTGGTCAAAAATAGGGATACAGCGAGGGGAATGGCGTACCTGTTCGTCCTGACTCCTGAATCAGCATTGGCTCTCCTTGCTGGGCTACTGCTCCGGCAATGGCAACGCCCGTGCAGCTCAATCTGGGTTTATCGAGTCAGGAGTTGGGGGGTTCATTCTAGAAGAGAGAGAAAAGAGGGCCGAAGAAGCCAGTGCGGCATGGAACACCCTGCTTGAGAGGGGTGGGGATCATCCGGGGTTCGTCAAGGCCAAGCCCCAAAACATGCCATGATCGCCGACATGCTGTCAACGGAGCCAGCGTGCGGTGTACTTCGTACGTGGTCCCCGATGTGTTCTCAACGGTAGTTGGTGTTGTGTTCTGCGAAGATACGTCGAGAGGCACAGGAGATTGCGGTTGGGAAAAAGCCATGCTTGATCACCAGCATTGCCCAGGTTGCGTTCGGCTAGACAGTGATGCACGCAGGAAGCCAGCATAGTAGGTATTCCTATGCCAGTCTACCACGGGTGACAAGGCAGGGTTGCATGGTCATTTTAGCGAAGTCCGGCAAGTCAAGGAAGTGGAAGTGGAAGTGGAAGTGGAAGTGGAGGAAGAGGAGGAGGAGGATAAGAAGACTTTTGGTGCGGTTTCGGGCTCGCACACAAGTGGGAAAGAAAGAAAAAAGGTACCAATTTGTCTGATGGCGAACAGAAACCTCCCCTGTCCTTGAACGACGCCACAAAATCGCCTGCCGGATGGGGTAGCCAGCCCACATGTCACCCATCTCGCAATAACAACTCGTGGCGATTGTTCCGCACTCGACGCAACCATACCGGAGTGTAGGGACGAAACGAAATGACAGGCAACAACACTCTGCAGAGCATTAACGGCTGACAACCCTCGAGTTAGCAAGCAATCCCTTTGCACCGGTAATTAGTAGTGGGCTTCCTTCAGTCACGTTGCAAGCACGTCAAGAGATGAAGACGTTACCTTATCCCCCCGCCGATGTCATGTACAAATATACCCTGCTATGCGAGGTCACCTCGACCCCCCCATCCGTTTTCGTCTCCTGCCCCCTCTTCTGCCACTTCAGACTTGGACCCTTGTGCATTGAAAAAATCTCGACCTGGTAGCGGTGCAGGCGGTAGAAGCAACGGTTGATAGAGCGCTGCCCTAGAGATACCCTGCCCGAGACGTTGGGCCCGCCTTTTGCGCCTTCTTGGTATAAACGCCGGTATCCCGTCCTGTGTCGCACGCAGTCCTCATCAATCGTGTTGCATCCGTCGTTGGTGCGACCTGCAGAAACCCGGAAACCACCCCTGCCTTGCTACTTTCCACTCTCCAACAACAGGAAAGAGACAACCAACAGGAGTGTTCTGAACAAGATCCCAGAAAAAAAAGCAAGGGCGGAGGCCGAGGGGTGGAATCCCGAAAAAAAAAGAAAAAAAAGAGAGGAAGGAAGGGAAAAAAAAAAAAAAAAAAAAAAAAAAAAAAAAAAAAAAAAGAGGACTCGTTGTCGGTTCGCTTCGCACACAAAGAGAGACAGAGCTCGTCTCGGAAACCGCGCCAACCGTCGGACCGATTGATTGTCCCAACCCGTACAATGAGTATCATTTACCGAAGACTGGACCCCTCGAAGCGCGAGATCCGTCTGTTTGAAATCCAGTCGGCGCGCAGCATCAACGACCCCGTCGAGGGCCGGCTCATTACCGTCCGCCTTACCGACGACCTGTCACGGGAGTACATCGCACTCTCCTCACTCTACGGCGACGCCTCCGAAACCGACAAGATCTTTGTGAGCGGCCAGCCTGTCACCATCACAGCCCACTTATCCCAAGCCCTAAAGCATGTCCGCGCAGTCTTTTACCCGACCATCTCGCAGCGCTTCCAGAGGACGCCGGCGAGGCGGCCTCACGGCGCTCCGCGATGGTTGAGGCAACTGTTCGGCATAAGCAGCTCCCGCGCCAGCGACAACGAGCCGAGGGCGTTGCGGGTCTGGTGTGACTTCCTCTGCGTCAACCAGATGGACGACCTGGAGAAGAACAAGCAGCACTCGGACATGCGCAACATCTACCGCAACGCCGAGCTCGTCGTCGGGTGGCTGGGCGACAAGACGGAACATACGGATCTGGCGATGGCGACGCTCGCACAGATTGAGGACGCCATGCCGCCCCACTGGGGAGACCCCGGCGACCGGCAGAAGCATCCAGAGGACTACTCCCCGACGCACAAATGGGCCGAGTCTATCACGCACCTGTGGGAGCCGGGGGCCACCGGCGAGATCCCCTTCATGTTGCCGCATTGGATCGGCTGCAACGACTTCATGGGCCGTCCGTACTTCCAACGCCGATGGATCCTCGAGGAGATAGCCATGGCCAGGTTCCCTACCTTTCTGATTGGCGACACCATCGTGCCGTGGAAGCAGGTCCTGCGTCTGAACCGCATGATGGAGGAGTTCAAGTACCATCCCTCCGACATCTTCCCCCAGGTATGTGTACCAACAACGCCGCGAGCTTTTCCCCGTTTCGACCCTTGCCCCGTCGCCTGCAGCGTGAGGGGATCTCGCACACGCAGGCTGCATGAGAAATCCTTTGAACTGACTCGTTTTTTTCTTCTACAGTACTTGGCGGCCATGATAGCCGACCTGCCTCTGGAAACCGCGCATAAGCTGCTCGACGAATTCGCGCGGAGAGAGGCGTTAGAGGACGCCAGGATCCTGCAGGAGGCAGGGAGCAGCAGGGCGACCTCATCCACGCGGTCCACCGACACAAAATAGCCGTCATGGCCCGCATCGTCGTCGTCGATGGCTGGTTTCGCGGCGGCCCAGATCTGACGGCAACCCCGAGAGGAGGTGCCGAAACAAAGATGGCTGTCTGTCGTCAGCCATCTCGAGGACGGACTTATCTCGAGGTGTTAACGGGGGGGAAAGGGAATTCCAGGGAAGGGCGGTTTTTAGCGTTGTAACGATGAGGATACCCAAAAGTTTTCTCCTGGATTCTTTCCAAGCAGCAGACAATTGACTTCGTTTTGTTCTTCCTTTTACCTTGCTTATTCGCCAATGACAGGGGAAAAAAAAAGAAAACAATGACACCTTACGGTATAAATAACCAGTCTTTGGGAAATGTGGCGGACCCCGCGGTTGATCAATCCCGCATGGGCATGCCATGAACATCAGAGGAGACGGGATTTGAGATGGTCAACGTGTGAGGGTTTTCTTGAACCCCCTCCCCAGTAACACTACCCCCTCCTACTGTAGGCATGTGCCCACTTGGCGTACCAAGGTCTAGCCAATGGGTTCTGTTGGAAAGGAAGAGTCATACCGGTTAGCCTTTTGACGGAACCAATAGTCCTATGCATGGTGATTGGTGATGCAGAAAGAGTGTTGTTGGTGCAAGGTTACATTGTGTCTCGGCTCTCTAGGGCCAGAACCATGTAGGTAATCGTTCCGTCGGCCCCGTTACACTCCGTCTCGGGGAGCGCTGGCAATCGGTTCGTCACGCATCCGCGCGAGATGCGGTTCCGCCGAAGAACTGCTGCAGTGTTGCAGCACCTGCAGATTTTCTTGCGCCAATCCCGCTTATTCGAGTCGGATACAGGGCCATTCCTTGCAAGGGGTTCCGCGCCGTTACGAACCCTCACCCTTCATGTGAGAAGTGAGATGTCGTCTCTTCGCTGCTTCTGCATTGCACAACGCTTTCACTCGAGAACCCGACGGTCTGGCACCATCGCCGACCTGAAACTAGATTTTCGGTCCAGATGCCAATGGACAAGCCAACGATACGTCAATATCGTACGAACCCCTCACCGCCAGAACTTGGCCAATCTGTCACTGAGCTCGCATGGGACGATCCCGTGGTTGTCCCAAACCCACTTGACGACAACCCATGGTAGTATGGTGCGGAGTAGAACTCCGGTCCTGGCCAAGCCAGTATCGATGGACTGATTTCACATCGATGCCTCCCAAGAGTTTTCGGAACCCTCGGAACTTGACCATCTTCTTTTCCACCTCTCCTTTTCACTTATCGCTTCTCTCTTCTCCTAGTGGAAGGTCTTACTTACATTCCAGTCTTCACGAGTTGACAGAATGGACACAGAATCCTCCTCCTCCTCCTCCTCTTCTGCTGGAAAGCCTTGCTTGCGTTACACTCTTGAAGAGTTGTTGAAATGAGCACCGACGACTCACTTACGTCGCATCAACACTTGCGCTGCATATTGGCCGATGCACACCAACGTCCGTACTGCTTGCTCCCACCGTACATGAGGTAATACGTCTGCTGGCTGTGGAAAACAAGTTCAAGAGAACGGCCGACACAGTTGCGACAGCCTCGTTCTGTACTCCAATGGAATCCAAGTTTGCGATATGCAATCGCCAAGTTTCTCTCTGGTAATGCGCAGCCAGGCGCGCAATCGGCTGTTGCGACGTTGTTAACATTGTCTCCAGAGACTATTGTCACGCAGACACTGGCCCGCTTGGACGTCTGCTATTCACTCGCTATGTTCCTCGAACCTCGATGAGGACTAATCGGACACATTTGCGTTGCAAATCCCGCGACCACAATCCGAGAGCCCCCTCCTTCTCCCCCTCCCCATCGTGTGTGAAGTCGGAATTAACACTACAGTGGCGCTCGAGGGTCGAGACGACGACCCAACGGGAAGACGAAGGGAAAGCCAATCAACCCAAATTTTAATAAGTGGGGATGTTTACCCGTCCGAGTCTTGGCCTCGAGGGGGAATTGTGATGGAAAATGGTCCACTTGCAGATACCGGCTGGGTTGCAACCCTGCACTGCACCCGTGAGGCACAGTTCTGCATCTTGGAGACCTGTTCCCGGAGTCGAATGGCATCGAGGCAACGCCAAAGACCAAAGTCGGCATGGGCTGGGGGGGCATCAAACCGGCGTGGTCTGGAATCAACGAGAAAACTTCCCGGTACGGGACGTTGCGTAACAGCAAACACAAAGCCTATTTTCAGCCTTTAGACTTGAGCCTCAACGGCACCTTTTATCCCCCCCCCCCCCTTTTTTTTTTTTTTTTTTTTGGTCTTTTCCCCTTGGCGATTGGTGTCGTGCACTGCCCGAGGCCCCGGATCTCGAGCTTTCCACGACGACAGATCCATGGAGAGAACGGCGCTCATGTGACCGATTCTGAACACACGGCTATCGGCACCGTTTTATACCTTTCATTGTATGCACATTCTGCATCCCCTTTTTTGTCGGCGGGGCTCGGCCGGTCTATCGAAACGCCGTGCCCAGTGTCCCGCGTTCTAGACGGGCCGTCGAAAGGGCATCTCTCCCGCCTCCTTGGGGACTCGTCATCTTTTCTGGAAATGCCGGGGACTAGCCGGAGCCGGTCAGTGCCTCGGGGCTTCTTGCGTCGTGATTCGCTCCGTAGATTGTGGCTTGCGCCTTTCGTGAAAGTACGCCTCTGGCCGCATGCGTCTCCAACATAGGCGACTTGTCGTTGTTTACTAGTCCCAGCCGAGCGGAATGAAGGCGTCATTGGTTTCGGCCCGGATACCCAACCCGCCCGGGCATCGAGGTGGTTCTCTCTTCGGTGGCATGCCATAAGTAGTTGCTCATAGCGCCGATCATTCACGGGGACCCCATCTCCATCAGGGACGCGCATCTCCGCAGCTTGCGTCTTCCGTCAGACGCCAGCCGTCATGGATCTACCGCAGCTCTCCTCCGAAGAGCTAGGGAGGGACGTGTCGCCAATGGTCATTGGCGTCGTTTCCATGTGTCTGGTCATTGCTACGGGCGTATTGGCTCTCCGCCTCTGGACGCGCCATCACATTCTGCAGAAAATCGGCTGGGATGACTACGCCGCGAGTTTCGCATTGGTGATTTTCTGTCAATTTCTCGGATTTGGTGGAATAACCAGCTGACCCGGTTTAGCTGTCGATATGGGGATGCGGAGTCTCGATCGCAGTCAGTAAGTGATACATACCGTTGATTAAAACCGGCCTGTGCATATAAATGCTGACGGCCAACAGTGACACGATACGGTCTTGGGAGACATCAGCAGACGGTTAATACATTGGAAGAGCATGTAAAAGTATTCAAAGTGAGCATGCACGGCCCGAAAGCTGTCCACTTCGAACAGCTGACGAATCCCTTCGATATAGTGCTTCTGGTGTAGCGTCTTGTTCTACGGCTATGGACACTTGTCTTTCAAGATGGCCTTCCTGGCTCAGTATTACAATGTGCTTCGCACCCCCCGCATGCGAAATATCTACATTGCGGCCATGGTTCTCATCGGGCTGTGGGGGTTCGGCAACTTGTTCGTCATCTTCCAGTTCTGCGACCCTCTCGTGGGCTTTTGGGACCCTCGCGTCCCGGCCCGGTGTATGGACCAGAAGGTCCTGTTTTACGCTTTCAGTTCCCTTAGTATCGCGACGGACGTCATCATCTACCTGCTGCCGCTTCCCGCCTTGTCCAAGCTGAAAATACCCCGTTCACAAAAGAACTATCTGTTGGCCATCTTCAGCCTCGGCTTCTTGTGGGTGGTCTCCCTCGAGCGTGTGCCCGGTACAGCAGAGCTGTCATACTAACTGCGTGGCCCTAAACTAGCGTCGTGGTCATTGCCGTGATCCGTATTCGTTACCTCGACATCGGGCCCGACTTCACTTGGGCGAACGTGGAGCCCGCGATGTGGTCGATGGGCGAGCTGACGGGGGCCATGGTCTGCCTCTGCCTGCCGACTCTAAAGGCTCTTGGGTCGCGTCTGGGTCTCGTTGCTACCGATGTAGAGAACCCCGAGACCTCCCCTTCAGCGAACCAAAACATTGGCAGGTCGATTTCTTCGGGCCTCGCGATTAATGGTACCGGTACGACGAACTCGCCGAGGAAGCCGCCCATCGATTTCGCCAATTTCGTGCAGGAGGGTGAGCAGTTCCACAACGGGGTGTTCCGCCAGACTCCCTCACTTCCAGTATGAAGAGCATATGTGTCCGTCTCGTTTGTATAATAAAGTCACTACCACGTCAACTAGATTTTGACAAAGCCAATTTCTTCCTGACTTTCCTTTTTCTTTCCTTACTAGACTCGTAAGCAGGACGACTTACAGCCTTCCCATGGCCCTCTATAAAGTCAGCATCAGCAACCCATGGTTTTTCGGACAGGCTGTCAAGCTACTTGAACTCCCGAAACAACCAAAGGTAAGACAAGGAAACGCAAACCCACCCATGAGTTCATAGAAACACGGTGAAACAGAGAAACGATGCAGTTTTACGCATAGAACGTTTATATTGACGAATTCGCTAATGGACTGTTTCCATGCCATTACTTTCCGTGATATCTCCCGCTGCCCCGGACCCAGTTTCCAGTTGACTGCAGAAAAGGACTAATTAGTTCTTAGAACAGTGCTTTCTCGGGCAGAAACTCGTCAAGGTTCTACGCCGGCTCCATGTCTGAACCGTTTTTGAGACCGGATGCAGCAGCTCCATTTGTAGCTACAATATTCGCGAGGAAACATGAGCTCTTGCACCTTATCTTCGATGTGTTTCGGTACACGCTGCGTAAAGCGATGTTCAGGCGTCTTCCACCTACCGGGAAGCTACAAGTCTACGAAACACGACGGGCCTTGCGAGTGAAATCAGGTCGAAGCCGGGAAGTTTCGTTCTAGTTCTCAACTTCGAACAAAACGCACACCACGTTCTGCCGGTTTCAAAGTTCCAAAGCAGTCCAACAAAAAGTCTGTCGGGTCTCCGTCTCGCGAGCTTGCGAGTTGCATCTTGGCCGGCGAACGAGCATCTTCTAGTCATCTTGTGAGATGTTATTAAAGAGAGCGGGATGCCGGACTCCGAGCAGACGGTCCCAGTCATCGACCAGCCATTCTGTTGAGCCGAAACCCTTTCCAACCCTAGCGCACCTCGAATCTACAACCAGCCGCCATGCCATCTTTGGGGCCCACGAGGCCGAAAAGGACGACAAGGACGCGCCGCTTCGGCTCGAAGCGCCGACCAAAAGGCCATCGCGTCAAGAAAGTGAAGCCGTGCCGGCACCCGGGGCTCCCCAAGACCACTCTGCCACAGGAACCCGACGGACAGGACGCGGATGAGCCGGCGCCCGAGCCTCGGCCCTTGATCCTGATCTCCCCTTCCTCGTATGGCGCAACCCCTCTGTTGAACATGACCTGCGGCCACTTCCTCCACTGCGAGCTGCAGCCCCATCAGACCGCGGCTCGGGACGCCTTCGTCAAGTGCTACCTGGAAGCGTCGCCGCGGGGGACCGCCTGGGACAAGCTCCCCGCCCAGCGCGTGCAAAGCTTCGAGGAAGGGAGCGGCTCCAAACTGGACGAGGCCGAGGGGGCGTTTCTCGAGGGCTCGCTGCGCTCGATGATGAAGTACCTCGACGAGTACTTCTTCTTCGGCACCATGACACGTCTTCAAGAGGGCCAGCAGTATCTGTTGCTGGCTCTGGAGACGGGATTCGGCCGACTGAAGGCGGATGTCGCCGAAGGCCGTTATGGCGACACGCAGATCTACCGCACACACTGGGATAATACGGACCAGCCATACGCTCGTGTACGGCTCTGGAGCAGACTAGCGTGCGATAGCCCACAGAGCCGAGACGGCGGCAGGAGGATACGGAGGCTATCATTCGCACGGAATGTCGCGACATTGATCCACGAGTTGGTGCACGCGTACCTCGGCATTTTCGTCTGCGCAGGTGCACAGTGCCGAAGAAACATCCTCAACACAACCGGCGTGACCGGACACGCCTCCACGTTCACCAAGCTTTACGCCCTGGTTCTGGGGGAGGTCCGGGAGTGGCATCCCGAACTCGGGTCCCTGAACAAACACGAATGCATTCCCGGCACTTCGATCGTCAGTCATAATATCGCCTTCGAGGCCGCGGCGCGTCAGCAATGGAGATCCGACGGCCGAGACCGAGGCCTGCTCCCCCTCAGGGCAGACAGCCCCCGGAATCTCGTCCGTCAAACGGAGGAGGTGATCAACGGCATATCCGTGATGAGCATCACTTACCGCAGGCCTGGGTCGAGGATCCCTGGACAGGAGGAGGCTGACGGGAGCTGCGACGTGGATGGCGTGTAAGGTGACATGACGGATGGAACAGGCGTTGAAGAAGCCACGACTGGATGCGATTTCTGGAGAATGAGTGTTGGTTGGCAGATTACTTGAGAGTTGATGTTTTGATAGAATGTGCGTTTGTAGTGTTTTTTCCAATTGGCAATACCCGGGTTGTGCAATCCTGTTGCTTGTGTTGGCTAAGAAAATTCCGTACGCTTCATGATATCGATCCGACAGTATGTGACGGGGCCCTATGTATTTGAGAGGGAAACAAGGTTGAGGGAGAGGGGTGTGTGTTACCAGGGTCCAGACTGAAGCAATCAAAGGAGTTCAAGGTACCCTCGCTCTCAATGTCTAGGATTGTAGAATAACGCCCAAACAGGCATGTCCTTCGTCTCCTTCTCGGCGACGACTTCAACTGTTGTCGATGGCCGACTTGAGGCTTCTGCTTTCCTTGCGTGCAGCTGGAGACGCCATGATCGAGTTTCACCGCGGTTCGGTAGCGCTCCAAACTCCCGATGACCTTTGTGGGGTATTACATTTTTTCATTCCTTGGGAAAACGGTCTTATCCATACATCTTTGCGGCGTAAACATCATTCACATCCATCACTCTATCCAAGCCCGGCCTCATTCCCTATGACTCCGGCACATAGACACCGTCCTTGCAAAGGACCACAATCTTCTTGAAGAAACGACGCCACTCGAGTGGGTCTCCCTTGATCTTGACGAACCGGATGTCCAATAGCTCCTGCTCCTCCGGCAACCTGTGCTTGTCGACGTGGATCTCGCCGTGCATCGACTGCCGCCGCTCATCGAGCGTCTTGATTTTGATCGTGACAATGTGGTCCGCCGACAGGCTCGGCGTCACGGGCGGCAGCGGAACGTTGAGCTGGTGCAGCGCGTCGCTGAGCATCTGCACGATGAGCTGCGGCGGCACGTGCGAGAAGAAGCGCGTGAGCGACTCGGGCGGCACGATGTCGCGGAACCGGCGCGCCGCCTGGGTGAGGGTCAACGGGACGCTTGGGGTCTGCGAGAACTGGCTCATTGACGGCTCCTCGGCGAGGGATTGCAGGAACATGCGTCTGTTGGCGACGCCGCTTACGCTCCTGGACAGAGGCAGCGTCGAGGGGACGGCGATGGGGTTCATGGTCTTGAGGGCTGGACGCTCCCAATCCCACGTGACGTCGTTGATGGGCGTCTCGGGCTGCGTGAAGGAGACCTGGCCGATGGTGTCGACAACCATGGGGTCGCTACTGGTCGGGTTACCTTGGGACGCCGTCGGCTGCTGGTTGAAGTCGATCTTGAGACTTTCCAGCATCTGCGTGGCCAGGTTGATGGGGTCGGAAACCTTGCCGTCCGATGTTAGGTGTGGGTTTGGTCTGGTGTACCACGGGTGTTGACGAATCTGCCGGAATGAGAAGCGCTTGTCGGGATCGATGTTCATCATACCGCGAAGCAACGACAAGGCATTCGACGGTATCCTCCCCCAAATAGCATCCGTACTGCGGCCGTTTGTCCGGACATATTCTTGATACTCCCAGCTGCCGTTCGACGGCTCGTCCCAAGGGGTGTTGCCCACCAGCAGCACAAATAGAATGACGCCACATGACCAGATGTCGACGAGATCCGGCGAGTATTTGCTCACGGTCGACGACGTCTTCTTCTCCGCCTTGCCGCAGGCGAGAATCTCAGGGGCGATGTAGGGTGGACTGCCGCAGAGGGTGGAACTCGTCTTCCGCTGGCCCTTGTACTCAAACATGGTCGACATACCAAAGTCGGCGAGCTTGAGGGTTCCCGTCTCCGATAGCAGTATGTTCTCGGGCTTCAAGTCGCGATGGGCGACGCCCTTTGAGTGGATGAAGCTTACGCCACTGATGAGCTGCAGGAAATAGACGTGCGCAATGTTCTCGTGCACGCCGACGTCAGCCTCGATCTTGTCAAAGAGGTCGCCCCCGTCGGCGAACTCCATGGCGATCCATCTCCAGTTGGTGTCTTCTCCCGAAGCAAACCACTCGATAATGTTCGGGTGTTGGCCGACATGCGAGTGTAGCGACACCTCCATCAACAGCTGCTTCGCCGATACCCTGCCATGCTTGACGGCATAGCCCTTGTGGATGAATTTAACGGCAAACACGGGCGTTTGCGCGTCCTGGGGGACGGCCTTCTTTATTCTGCGTGCTAGAGTGTCAGTGGAGGGGTCCATCACGAACGACCTGGGTGAGAGGGGGGTGGAGGGGCGGCCCACGATGCATAAGCGCCTCGCCCAATCGTTTTGGAGATGATTCGGAAGGGCAGGTCAGTGGGTAAAGGGTCCAGCTGCGACTGTTGCATCTTTGCTTGGTGAGTAAATCGCAGTGGGTGAGATGTTCGGATGATTCCCTCGCAGAAGCTGTGGTGGTGGACTATTCCATACAATGCCAAGGGGAAATGACATGGGCAAACAGGGATCTTGGATATCCATTTACGATGACTCTTTTAGGCAGACGACACCAGACAAAGAAAACCCCAACAGGAAACCCGACAGAGCGGCTGGACGTAGCAGACTAACGTAAGGTGGATTGCGCACAAAGGCCCCAGGTCCAGGGACCAGAGTCAGCAAGAACTCACCATGTTGTCTGAGATGGTGTCTCGAGCTGTCCCAACGCGGGTGCCTCTCCAGCGCGCGTCTCAGCCGCGTAAAGAGCTTTTTGAGCGTGTTTGTTTCGATGCAATGTTTTATTGCCGCCTGGGGCGGCGCGAACCCATTGGCCGATAAGTCATCTTATCGCGGTTGCTGCAGCGTCGGCCAGGTAAACAGTTCCGCCACTACGCCCCTCTAAACTGACAGGGACTGACATCTGAGCAGTCGCCGCTTTTGCAGCACCCCGCGCCTTGGGAAGATCCTTTATAAAACGTCGCACCACTTCTGCAGTAAGCCCATGACACATAATGGTTGTAGACAGACATCTTTTATTGAGTTTCTGACTCGGTTGAATTGCGTATTGATGAACTCTCAACCACCATCACCCATCTGGACTCCTTCCTTCCCTGCCTGCCTGCCTTCCCTGCCTATCGAGAAACTGAGGATAGTTGCTTCCCTCCAATGATCCTCAACCATCACATTCCAGTCCAAGCACTAACGAAACCTTGATACTGTGCTCTTAGTTTTGCCTTTTCCCTTTTCCCTTTTCTTTCATTGCAATAGTTATTTATTTGCATAGTTGGTCATTCGGGCAAGGCAACTTGCGGTAGACGGAGCTTGGATCGACCAAGTGTTCAATGAGCAGAGTCCCATCGTCGAATGTTGCTGGGAGGGTTCCTAAAACCACCAAACGTCAGAAAAGCCTTCAAAGTATCCTAGTTTCCAGACTTACTTCTGATCTCGTCTCGAAATCCATCCCTTTCGAGATCCGCACATCATGCAGACTCGTATATTACACCTAGTGCAACGAAGCACGAACTTTGGTAGCACGCCGGCGCATAGATCGCATTTCTGACCCCGTTTGTCGACCAACTTCCATGTATATCGTGAACTCTCATGAACGCAATGGGTATTCGGTTTCTTTCCCTTCTCGCTCAGTGGGTGCGAGCTGGCGGTGACAGACGTGGCCTTCGTGGACGTAGCTTCAGAAATGCTTGTACCGATCTCAAGTATGCTCATAACGTCACTGCAATCCTCTTGGGATGGAGCAGAAAAAGATGACGAATCTTTGATGTCTTCCAATTCGCAAAGCTTGAAGTTGTCCTCGGGCGAGGAGACAATGCTGCCAACCACAAGTTAGCCATATCAACCTGGTAATGAATAAATCGGATGACTTACCCGACTGACACTTCCTCTCGAGCCTGGGAACAGTTCTCCCACGGGCACTGATGAAACTGTGCCATGCTGACGATATGCAAGAGGAGGAAGGGAGATAGTGAGGCAGACCGGCCAGAAAAAGTTGAGCCTGACAAATCCCAGCACCTGCAGGATCAGAAGCTTCAAGTCTGGCCAGCTAATTGTGGCTGGGTACTCCTTGTAGCGTTGGAATAGAAGAATCGGAAAAATAAAACTGAAGAAGAAAAGAACAAGGAGAAGTGAAGGCAGGCAAAGTTGAAATGGCGGGAGGGGGCCAGACAGAGTCAGCCTTCCGCCACGGCTTCCAATAACCAGATCACTGCAATTGTTCTTCTTTCCGCAAGGTTGAGAGCGCATGCCTGGAACACTTTTAATCGGGTGCCTTGAAAAGTGTGACGAATTTTCGAACGAGTCAAAGATGACCTTTGATGTTGAACCTGGGACGAAATTGTCGTCTGAACAATCATCGTAAGATACAAGTAAAAGCGTGCACAACCAGATTACGGACTTTGTTAGTTCAGAGTCGTCCAAGTGGGTCCTTTACAGTCACTATAACAGGTCTTTCCATTTACGTATTTTTTTGTATGGAAGCTGAATCCAGGCTTCGGCAACTAATTCATTGTATGTTGAAGCATCTAGGTAGCTCCTGCTCAAGTGGCATTGATGAATACATCTACGTACCAGAAACTGGTATGCAGTTCTATAGCTGCTTTGACCGGGGACTGAAGTTAGAATACCTCAATATATACAAATGGTAAACCAAAAATGTGTATGCAAAGTCTTGACGTTGAAGTAAAGCGCCTGCCTATTGGGGATGAATTGAAGTCCAATGCATGTTATTAGACGTTGACCCGTTTCGGCAGTACGTACCGGACGGTTGTACCCCGTTATACAGCAGCGACGGCGCTAGCCCAAAAACGTCAGTCGAACCCCAGCGCGTCGCCCAGGTACCAGCGTCGCCGATTCACCAATCCCGGGAGCCCTGCAGAATAAGTGCCCTGCTGTTGTTCTCGACGTTGCTCGTCTCCTTCGCCCCTTGATCCTCCTCCTCTTTCCTGCGCGTTGCGTTTTCTCCCTTGCACATAAGTACTGAACGGCCGGACTGCTTCCTTGTTTTACCAAACGACTTACCTGCTTCATCCCAGCTCTTCACCTCAAGCACTCTTCCGGTTTCGAGAAACTCCCTTTCGTCTCGGCTCCATTGCTCTCGACGCCAGTACTTTCTTGCTCATCGACTTGAAATCACATACACAGTTACAACAATGGACTACAGCATGGAGGAAAACCAGAATGCCGCTCCCGGCAGCGTTCAGGCGGCCAAGCTCGGCGGTGCCAGGAAAGGGCCCGACGCGCAGAGCGTCACCAAGAGGTACGTGTATTTCGCCGCCCTTCTTCCCAAAAAGATGAGCTGACACTGTCGTCGCAGATTGCAGACGGAGCTGATGCAGCTTATGACATCGCCCGCTCCCGGTGTCTCGGCCTTCCCTTCAGCAGACGGCAACCTCATGTCCTGGACAGCGACGATCGAGGGACCCGATCAGACCCCGTACGCCGGCCTGACTCTGAAGCTCAGCCTGTCCTTCCCTACCAACTACCCCTACGCGCCACCGACGGTGCTCTTCAAGACACCCATCTACCACCCCAACTTTGACTTCTCCGGCCGTATTTGCCTGGATATCCTCAAGGACAAGTGGACGCCCGCCTACAACATCCAGACCGTCCTCCTCAGCTTGCAGAGTCTGCTTGGCGAGCCAAACAAGTGAGTTGCCCCGGCAAAAAGTGGTCCACCGTACGTACCTGTAGCTGACACTTGGGACCCAGCGCCTCCCCTCTGAACGGCGAGGCCGCGGAGCTTTGGGACAAGGACCACGAAGAGTTCAAACGTAAGGTACTCGCTCGTCACCGTGATGTCGAGGACGAGTGAGTGTACCCAAACTAAGACGAAGCGAGGGCCAGTACAGAGTGAAGGCATTGTTTTGAGCACTGGAGAATTGGAGTCTGTCTTGTATGATTACGGGCTGGTGGTTTTTGTAACTTTTTTTGTTAGGAATTGGACTGCATTGCATGGCTGGGGCCTGGCTGGGATTGGGTATATCCTGTTGTCTGCATCAGGCAGACAACCCAAGTCGATAGAAAAGACCCTGTCGGACAATGTGTGTAAACACGAACCACAAAGTAAACTGTTGTCCCAAGTCCTCCATCACCATTGCTGGCACATACGCAACGCCCCCTTCTCGCGCGCGCACTCGGCGCAGACAAAAATAACATCCCACCACATCGCGGGGTCCAGGACCACTAGTAATAAGTCGTCGAATTCGTGTGTGGGGAATCAAGCGTTGTTCACATTTCCGTCGATTTTGTATGTGAGACTAGAATGCCGAATGCAACTCCGATGCCTTTATGCCGCCCTAAAACCATCCCAAAGAGAACTTTTTACTCCTCAACGACAACAGTCTGGAGACCCTTGGGGTTCTTGACGTTGACGGCCTGGACGTAGCTGTACAGCTTCTCCTTGGCACCCTCCTCGTCGTTTCGCCTGCGGGAGATGCGGATGCGGAGTCTGTAGGGAACGCCCTTGATACCCTGCTCCCAGACCTTCTTGTTCAGCTGGGGGTCGACACGGACGTCGGTGGTGCCCTATACAATCATTGCGGGTTAGCGAGCGTTCCTCTTTTCAAGTCGAAAGGCCGATTCGTGATCATCTCCCGAGGAATGGGTAAGGAATGGCGATGAGTCGGGTCTTGATGTCGTGCGTGTGTGTGCTTGGATTTTCGAGATTGTATTATCGAGGGGCAGTAAAACGTACCATGGCCTGGAAAGCGAAAGCCTTGATTTCCTTGATAGCACGGGGGGCACGCTTCTTGAACGAAACACCGTGGAGCTGCAGGAGGGGGAAAATGTCAGCATCGCCGTGCTCGATTGTAGCCCGTCACCAGACGCCGTCGGATTTTGGCTTACGACGGCGGCCTGGGTTTTCTCAGAGGAAAATACTAACGCGCTTGTGCATGTGGATAGTGTACTCGCGAGCGACGACGTCCGCAATGGCGGAACGCTGCTTTCCGGCGGGCTTCTTCTGCTTGGTCGACATTTTGGCGGTACCTCTCGTTGGGCGTTCGGTCGTCGGGATCGCGGAGTCGAGTTGGCTGAGAAGTTCGGTCGATGGTGGTGGTTTTCCCCGTAATCGAGCACGAAAAGTTTGTGAAGCGAAAAGGCAGGTGCAAGCCCTAGAAAGCGCCTTCCGAATTGGAAAGTGGGGAGTCCGTGCTTGCGGCTAGTGAGTGGCGGTGCATCGAGGACCCGTCAAGTCAGGTGACTTTGGCATCCAGAGGGAAGCCGACCTAACGCCCACTTGGGGAAAGCGCGATTTCCCTCTGGTCTGAGCCGCTGAGGTAACTCTACTGTACGTACCCAGCCTTCGGAGTGGACCGTTTGTTCCCCCCTGACCAGACAACATGAACGAAATTAGTGTCTGGGTCTGATGTGCCATCCAAGCCGCAACGCCATTCTTGGAGCGCCATCGTCAACCACACTGACGCTGTCAGTCTGCGCCGTTCGCAATCCTTCCCTTCTTACGCTCATTCAGTAAACAACCGAACCCACTACGGGGAAAGCTAGCGACGAAGAGCCAAGCCGACTCTTGCTGTTTCTGGGCACACCTACCGAACCTCATCTACGAACTCGCGTTCCCTCGACGCCCTCGACTCCCGATTTTACAACATTAATCAACTGCGACTCCGTCGCCCGACCTCTCGTTCTCGATCCGATTTCTTTACATCAAGACTACTCACCGCCCAAACCCGATACCCCGACTTTATCTCTGTTATCGCGACTGAATTAACATGATGGAGGACCGATCAAATGGGACTGGGGCGTCCGGCACGCCATCCCCTCAGCCAGACCTGCACCGGAACCGACTGCCGACTCTGTTCGAGGTGTTGAGCCGCCGTACCCTGCCTCCCGTCGACCTCTTCTCCTTCTATATCTTCATGAGAGACCAGCAAAAATCCGTCGACTATCTCGATTTCTGGTACGTGCAAACGATATCTGGAAAACGCGTCACTATCACTAACGGACCATAGGCTCGATGTTGCTCAGCACATGTCTCTTTGCCGGCACTATGTGCGCGAACTTCGAAGATCCGTCCTCATCGGAACACCTGATCTGGACAAGGCAGGCTCCAAGCGGTCTTCCGCAATCTTGGAGGGTCTCGGGGAGATGAGCCACAGCGCTGCTGGGCCTTCAATGTACGCCACAGAGAAGGAGAAGAACCAGGACGCCCAGATGTCTGCCTACCTGAGAGAGGAGGCCCACGAGGACTCCCCCAATAGCGGCAGCGGAGCCTTCAGCAGTACCCCGCGTGACATGACCGACTCCAACTCCCCGGCTCACACCGTCGCGAGACAGGATATCCGCGCTTCTGCAGAGAAGATCCTATATACCTTTCTTCTCCCCGGCGCCGAACGCGAGATCATCCTGCCGGGATCCATCACCCAGGACGTCACCACCGCTATAGAGGACTTTGGCAGAGATGACCCGGAGGTTTTCGACGTTGCCAAGGACTACGTATTCCAGGCGATGGAACGCGATGCCTTTCCCAACTTCCTGAGGATGAAGGCTCTTGGCAACCTCATCCCGACTACTCTTCAGATCAGAATGATTCTCGGCCTCTTGTCCATGTTTGGCGGCTTCTGGGCCGGCTTTATTCTCATCTTCCTTGATGCTGATCGCTTGACAAGATGCTGGGTGAGTTTCCTGATGACCTCTTATGGGCCCACTCGCTAACCAACTTGCAGCTTATCCTCCCATTCACCATTGGTGTCTATTTCCTTGCCTCCTACCAATACTCATTGGACCCCGTGCTTGCTCTTATCGGCTTGAGTGAGTACACGCCATTCAACTTTTCGAAAATCCGTGAGCCTTACGTTCGCAATCTCCTCATCAAGCGGGCCGTCATGGTTCTCTCTGTCACACTTTTGATTGACGCAGCGCTCTGTGTGCTTTTCATCCTTGTCCCAGGCAAGCGGCTTTAAAAGGTCGCTCTGCACTGTGTTGTTCTGTGTCACAAACAAAAAAAACAAAAAAGGAAATGACTTGCAATACCCCAAACTCATCAACAATGTGGCCTCCCCAATCAACATCAAGGATGTACTAATTATGGCCCTTGTCATTGAGAGAGACACACAGAGAGAGAGCTTTCACGAACGTTATGACCCCCACCAGGATTTTGAGCGACAGAGTTCGTTTTTTCCCCCCTTCTCGAATTTTCCAGTTTTCATCAGTTTCCCCGTTCAGGATTCCACATTACCCAAAAAGAGGGACGGCGTAGGGACAAATGGGAGAGGCCACATGGGATATCCAGCCTCGCATTCGGCGTTGAATGAGAGGCGAGAGTGAGATATTTAATTTTTTTTCTCTTTTTTACAATTTCATGCACACGAGGCATGGTGTACCATTACTTTGGAGGGGGCCGAGAGAAGATAGTCCTGCCTGAGCAGGAACGGGAACGGAGGTGGTAGCCCAAGATGGAGGGAAGAGGCGGAGGCGTGTCGGGCAAGAGCTCTTTTTCTTCTTCTTTTTGGCTTCGACACATTCATTCACATTCATTTCTTGATTCCCTCAATCTTCATTCTTGGCTTTCTAGATAGGTACCACAGACCTGGGATGGGAAGAGGCTAGTAGTGGCCTCTCTCTATCAACGCGCTTTCGGGGCTGACTTGAAGTTGAATGCTTTTTCGTCATCTATCGTGATATTCTGCTGCCGTTTGCCGGTTACGCTCCCAGCTCCTGGTTTTCTTCTTTTGCGGATCATGCTGTTCCTCGTTTCCCATTCATTACCCTGGCATTGACTGATACTTCGTGGTCCTCGTAATGCCGCGGTTCAAACTCTTGATCTCCAAAGGACCTCCTTGCTCCCTGAACAGGAAGGGAGTGTGTATGTGTGTGCCCCCTTCTCAAAGCAGAACTGCCGTCCTCACCCATGCTAAAGCTTCCGCCGACTGGCACGCTTTTTCTCCTGCTCAGGGTCCTCCTCGTCCACGTCCATGGCCTCGTCGTCAATGCTCTCGGCTGTGTTGTCCATCATGCTCGTGCTACCTCTCTTGTTGTACCGCTGCGCCCTGGACGTGTGGCCCAGGAAGCCGCTCCCGCGCTCGCCGCCGCCGCCGTGGCCGACGGCGAGCTTCCTCCCGGTCCCGGTCCCTGCTTCGGGATCCTTTCGCACCTCATCGACCAGCTTGGCCAGGCGGGCTTCCTGGTCGGCCTTGTCGCGCTGGCGGCGGGCGGCGGCGTCGCGGATGCCGACGATCTGGGCCTCAAGGTCCTCGAGTGTGGACTCGCAGCGCGAGGACCAGGCGTGCAGGGCGCGGATCATGGGCGGGACGGCGCCGGGGGCAAGGTCACGCAGGGCGGCGAGGGAGTTGACCTGGACGACTTGGCGGCGGGGGTCGAGGGTGGCATCAATGAGACCGGCGTAGATTGCCGAGATGACGAGGTCCTCAAGTGCGCGGGCCGAGGGAAGGCCGAGAGCGGACTGGAGGGCGGCGTAGCTTAGGTTCGAGCGGTTGCTGGAGAGGGTTAGGAGGGAGAGCTGGCGGAGCTTGAGGGTCTGGGCGTCGTTGAGCTGGGGCAGCTGCTGGCCGGAGGAGAGGTAAGTGGTGTAAGTGCCATAGGAGAAGATCTCGAGGAGGCGGAGGTGCGGGAGGAACTCGGGGGACTGGGACAGGGCTTGGATCTGCGGGGCCTCGAGGAGTTCTGTGAAGAGGAAAGTGTTCGGATTCGAAGTCGCGCGGGTGATGAGATCGGCCGCGGCGCGTGGTGAGGTGGCCGACTTGCTCAGAGCAAGGAAGGGCTGGAGCGGGCATGAGTTAGCATGCGATGGAAGGAGCGACTGGGGAATTACTGACCTCGAGCGCGTTGAGAGCTTTCGTCTGCTCCATCTTGAAAGCTTCTCGGCAGCGCTCACGAAGCTCTCTGGAGGTGGGGGTTCCGGTCGAGGGCGGCAGTTGTCGTCACTTAGAGCACGCTGTGATACCCCAAAGGTGGGGTTGTGGCGAGGCTGAGGTTGGGCTGGTATCCTCAGCGGCGAACAGACTGGGTGAGGCTGAGAGGAGGCGCTTGGATTCCTGACCCTTGCGTGGTCGGATGGATGGATGGGGGGCGTCAGAAGCAGATGGGGTTCTTTGGAGTGTTTTCTGAAGGGAGATGTCTTCAGAGGAGGCTTGTGTCAGATCTGTTTGAGGTGCAGTCAATGGAAGCCAGGCGGCAAGTGGTTTGGGTGGGGGGCCCACTACGGTTCCGGCGCGGGGCAGTCATGCAGGCCGCCTGACAGGCAGGTGCTGAGTGTGCAGCTCAGGCAGTGGGGTATCTCGCACTAAGATAATGTGATTGACCAGTCCAGTTTCCCCAGCGTAGTACTTTCTTCTCAGGTTCAGCCTCCAGCGACTATCACAGAACGGAACAAAGACAGTGCAGCATGGGTTTTTCTTTGTCGGTGTCCCTCCAATAATTGGAAGAGTGGCTGGAAGATGGCAGTTGGGTGAAAAACACTGTGGTTGAGAGAGGCCATTGTCTTTTACCCTTCGGGTGGATGGATAGGAAGGCCAAAAGGGGGGCTGCAGGCGATCATGGACTTAGTCTGGAGCTAAAACACCAAAATGAAGCATTCGGGGGAAATTCGAGCCGGGGCTTGGCTTTTTGTCGGGGGTACCTCCATGGCGAGAATCTCCCGAGGAAGTGGCTCGGGTGTGGGAGCAAACAACGGGAGTTGACTCTGACAGTAGGTCAGATCAGTACCATTGGCCATTTCGTCGGAAACTCAAGGTTAAAGTAAACTCGGTCACAGTCACGGCAATCCCGAGGATGACATTGGTAACCAGCTGTCTCCTCCTATCTCTGTGTGTAGTAAAGGCATCAATTGATGGAAATTAGGAGGATACTTGGGGACAGAAGGCGATGATGAAGAAAGAAAGAAAAAAAAAGAAGAAAAAAGGAAAAAGAAGGCGGTGTGAATACATGACTTGCAGGGCATGAGGTACTGGGTACCGTAAGGTGTTCAGCGCGAAGGACAGCACGGAAGACTTATTCAGGAGCATGAGGCATAGCGTCCGGAGGCCCACGTCGGAGACATATCAGACCCAATAAACAATTCGGATGAATTGGATTTGGCGACTCTCTGATAGTCGGAAGTTAGTATTCTATCCGAACCAAGGAAGCCCCCTCTTGGACCCTCGAGGGGAAAACTGCCTCAACTGCGGTGCCCTTGAATGTTTCGAGGGCCTGACAAGCCTGGCTCAGGTGCGTGGTCCTCGTACCGGTACGCGCATGCAACATGCAATACATATCCACACCAGAATGACTACTATTGTGTGTGTACTACGTACGGAGTATACATGCACTGTCAGTTTTTATGCCTATTCTGTAGTGTATCCGTACTGTAGCAGTGGCAAGTTTGAGTTCATCATCTCAGCTTACCTTTGTACAAGGCGCACATAGGTAACCCTATCCCTGGCTCAACAGGTCCTTGACCGGGTACTTTTTACGAAGGATCAGCAGCGGTCGGTTCCGCGTTACCGGGCTGAGAGATGGCAGATGGCGGCAGCGTCACCGGACGCCCGGTAAGCCAGTGGTCCTTCAGCACAACTAGAAACCTGCTATACGATCCGTACGTGCACAGCAAAGCGAGATGGCCATTAGCACCCCCTCTTGTTGCGATGGTCTCGCTGCGGGCCGTGTCTATATGTCCATATGTATTGCGACCAAGAGAAAAGGGAAATGGGAGGAGTGTGTGGAGGGCACCCCGACCCGGCCCCCGACGACTTCAAGTTACCGAGAGCTGCAGCACGGGCTGACATGGCCCGTGCAACCCAATTGGTTCCCCTACTACTAGGCCACCATTCCACACACAAACCGCTCTGCAGCACCCAGCAAGCGTCGTGGTGTCTCCTTTTCCCCCTTAGCAAATCATGTAGGTACCTAGGTCTGGGTCAGCATCCTAGGTAGTAGAACGGGTTTCTTTTCTTTTCTCGGCCAAAAGCAAAAGAAAGAGAGAGAGGGGGGGAGAGGGAGAGAAAAGCCAACCGCACGAGCCCCGTAAGGAGCAAAGAAGCCCTGGTAATCCTCTATTCAGTGCCGACGGGTTTAGCAGCGACGCGGAACATGACTAGATACAAATAGATACACTACCTTGCTAGGTAATTCCCTCCTGGGCATGCTATTGTCTTCTCGCCAGTCAGAAAGCCCGGTCCCCGTTAGTTTTGGCGTGTCTGTTCCGTACTTGTGCCTGTACCTGTTCCAGTATCTGTCTGTGTCCGCCCGCCCGCCCGCCCAGACACACGCCACCCACCCCCTCCCCTTTCCCTCTCACACCCCTGGTCGTCCGTCCCACGATTGCGCCAGATGATGGATGACCTTGTCACCTTGTATGCCGGTCGAGCCGTGCTGCATCCACACACATACATGTTCTGTTCCTCTCCGGCTATCGCTCGCTTTCGCAGCAGTCCAGCGGTGCTACTATGTACGGGTACAACAGACAATAGATAGATGCACAACTGATACCACGCTGCCCACTGCCACTGTCACGCCCCCCATCACATCCTCCTCCCATGCCTATCGAGGCAAGATCTCTGGCTGACAAAACCCGCAAAACCCAAACTCCTGCTTACGTCCTTCCGCTTACGTCCTCCCCAAGACTGTCTTCTTTTCCCTTCTTCCCCCGAATCGTGTCATTGACTGCCACCGGTTGCTCTTTTTCTTCTCCCGAAGCCTCCCCGGCCCTTAATTCTCAATCTTACCAACCTTTTTATTTTTCAAGGCGGCCTTACGCTACCCCGTACACATCGTACCTCGTGCACATACTCCACATAACATTCCGACCACGACACCAACCCGGGAGCATTCGTACATAGTACTTGGAAGCCGGTCTTCTGGAGCCTTCTCACCAAAACCCTCTTCTCGCAGTCCAACCGTTTTGCCTCGACCTCGAAGCAAGCTCGACAGCTCCTCTTGCACTCTATGGACTGCTAGCCCTACCACGAAGACAGGAGCCCAATAGCTGGAAACCGACTCGAGACCGAAACACCAACAAACCGCGAGGCTGGCCCTGCATTCCTGACATTCCGCAATTGCCAAGCGCATCGTTCCACGGAAAACACCGAAATCATGGCCCCTCCAGCCATCAGAGTACCGGGGAAGCTTGAGGCTGGCGCGCCAACAGCCACTCTCGCTACTCCGACCCCAACTCAATGGGCGACGACGACCCTCAAAGTCGGAGGCATGACGTGAGTTGAGTCCTTGCTGCGTGATGTTTCCCCGCCGCCTGCTTGCTTACAAGTCTCCCCTGTTGCTAGGTGTGGCGCATGTACTTCCGCAGTAGAGTCGGGCTTCAAGGGCGTTGACGGCGTGGGAAGTGTTTCCGTCAGTCTCGTCATGGAGCGCGCAGTCATTATGCACAACCCCGAAGCCATCTCTGCTGAGAGGATTGCCGAGATTATTGAGGACCGCGGTTTCGACGCCGAAGTCTTGTCCACCGACCTGCCCTCACCCATGTTCCCAACACACCAGGACCTGTTCGATGCCGAGGAGGAGAGCGGGTTCATGACAACCACTATTGCTGTGGAAGGAATGACGTGCGGCGCATGCACATCTGCTGTCGAGGGAGGCTTCAAAGACATCCCGGGCGTCAAGAACTTCAGCATCTCTCTGCTGTCTGAAAGGGCAGTCATTGAGCACGATCCGGAACTGCTCACTGCCGAGCAAATTGCCGAAATCATCGAGGACCGAGGCTTTGGCGCCGAGATCATAGACAGCGAAACCACCCAGCAGGAGAAGCCCAGGGCCAGCAGCAACCCCACAAGCTCCGTCGCCACAACAACAGTTTCCATCGAGGGCATGACCTGCGGCGCTTGTACGTCAGCCGTCGAAGGAGGATTCAAGGAGCTGGAGGGTGTCCTGCGCTTCAACATCAGCTTGTTGGCCGAGCGCGCTGTCATCACTCACGACACGACCAAGCTGCCAGCAGAAAAGATTGCCGAGATCATCGAGGATAGGGGCTTTGGCGCGGAAATCCTGTCAACCGCGCTCGAGGCGTCCACACAGGGCAATGGCGCTTCTTCCACTGCCCAATTCAAGATTTACGGCAATCCCGACGCCAGCAGTGCCTCGGCGCTAGAAGCAAAGCTCATGACCATCCCCGGCATCAACTCTGCCAAACTCAGCTTGGCCACCTCGAGACTCACCGTCGTTCACCAGCCCACCCTCATCGGACTGCGGGGAATCGTCGAGGCTGTTGAGGCCGAGGGCCTTAATGCATTGGTTTCCGATAACGATGACAATAACGCGCAGCTTGAGTCGCTCGCCAAGACTCGAGAAATCAACGAGTGGCGGAGAGCCTTCAAGCTGTCCCTGACCTTCGCCATTCCCGTCTTTCTCATCAGCATGGCTCTGCCCATGGTCCTTCCCGCCTTGGACTTCGGCAGCTGGGAGCTTCTTCCCGGTATTTTCTTCGGCGACTTGATCTGCATGGGTCTCACAATCCCCGTTCAATTCGGCATTGGAAAGCGTTTCTACATTTCGGGCTGGAAATCCATCAAGCACGGATCGCCAACTATGGACGTCCTCGTCATCCTCGGTACCTCGTGCGCCTTCTTCTTCAGCATCATCGCCATGCTGGTGTCTTTCCTCTTCCCGCCGCACACAAGGCCGGCGACAATCTTCGAAACCAGCACTATGCTCATCACCTTTGTCACTCTCGGCAGATTCTTGGAGAACCGCGCCAAGGGCCAGACTTCCAAGGCCCTCTCGCGCCTCATGTCTCTGGCTCCGTCGATGGCCACCATCTATGCCGATCCCATCGCTGCCGAGAAAGCCGCAGAGGGTTGGGAGAACGCCGCGGTCTCCGGTGAGCCCAAGACTCCCAACCGCGACGGAAACGCAGCAGAGGAGAAGGTCATCCCTACTGAGCTCCTTCAAGTCGGAGATGTCGTCATCCTTCGTCCTGGCGACAAGATCCCGGCAGACGGTGTGCTGGTCCGCGGTGAAACATACATCGATGAGAGTATGGTGACGGGCGAGGCCATGCCCGTTCAGAAAAAGAAGGGAAGCTACCTGATCGGCGGCACCGTCAACGGTCACGGCCGTGTCGACTTCCGCGTCACCAGGGCCGGCCGCGACACGCAGCTCAGCCAGATTGTCAAGCTTGTCCAGGACGCCCAGACTACCCGTGCCCCTATCCAGCGTCTTGCCGACACGCTTGCCGGTTACTTTGTCCCGGCCATTCTCATCCTCGGTTTCATGACGTTCCTCGTCTGGATGATCCTCAGCCACGTGCTCGCGAACCCACCAAAGATCTTCACTGAAGCAGCTAGTGGCGGTAAGATCATGGTGTGCGTCAAGCTGTGTATCTCTGTCATCGTCTTTGCCTGTCCCTGCGCGCTTGGCCTGGCAACCCCGACCGCCGTCATGGTGGGTACGGGTATAGGCGCCGAGAACGGAATTCTGGTCAAGGGCGGAGCTGCTCTGGAGACGACAACGAGAATCACCCAGATCGTCCTCGACAAGACCGGCACCATCACGTACGGCAAAATGACCGTGGCCAAGATGAGCCTTGTCTCCGCCTGGCAAGACATCGAGTGGCAGCGCCGGCTGTGGTGGCACATTGTCGGGCTCGCCGAGATGGGTAGCGAGCACCCGGTAGGCAAAGCCGTGCTGAATGCCGCCAAGGCCGAGCTTGGCATCGATGAAGAGGCCACCATCGAGGGCAGCGTCGGCGAGTTCAAGGCCGTCGTCGGCAAAGGTATCAACGCTCTCGTCGAGCCGGCCACAGGCAACGACCGCACCCGCTACCGCGTCCTCCTTGGCAACGTCCGTTTCCTCCGCGAAAACAATGTCAATGTCCCCGCCGAGGCGGTCGATGCTTCTGAGCAGCTGAATGCCAAAGCCAACTCCAGCGCCAAGAAGACCTCGGCAGGCACCACCAACATTTTTGTTGCCATCGACGGTCAGTACAGCGGTCATCTCTGTCTCTCTGACACCATCAAGGAAGGCGCGGCCGCGGCCATCGCTGTCCTCCACCGCATGAAGATCAAGACGGCTATCGTCACCGGCGACCAACGCTCCACCGCAGTCGCTGTGGCGGCTGCTGTCGGCATTCCATCCGAAAACGTCTACGCCGGTGTCTCGCCCGACCAGAAGCAGGCCATTGTCCAGCAGCTTCAGGACCAAGGCGAGGTCGTCGGCATGGTCGGTGACGGCATCAACGACTCTCCTGCTCTCGCGACCGCTGACGTCGGTATTGCCATGGCCAGCGGCACGGACGTCGCCATGGAGGCGGCCGACGTAGTCCTCATGCGCCCCACCGACCTCATGGACATCCCCGCCGCCCTCCACCTTGCCCGCTCCATCTTCAACCGCATCAAGCTCAACCTCGCCTGGGCTTGCCTGTACAACGCCATCGGCCTGCCTTTCGCCATGGGTGTCTTCCTCCCCTTCGGCCTCCACCTCCACCCCATGGCTGCCGGTGCCGCCATGGCCTGCAGCAGTGTCAGCGTCGTCGTGAGCAGTCTCATGCTCAAGTTCTGGACCCGCCCGAGCTACATGAGGGACCCCTCGGCCGGCACCCAGAGCCGCGGCTTCGGCCTCCTCGATAGGGTCAAATACGTCGTTCGCAAGCTCCGTGGCAGGCGAACACAAGACCAGGGCTACGTCCCGCTCGCCAACATGGCGGACCGGGATGAGTAAGAGGCCCGTTGGGTTGCTGTCGTCTTTTTGATCGCGTCAAAAGAACCGGGTTTTTGGGGGTTTTCTTCTTTTTTTTTTCTTTTTTTTTTTTCCTTTTTGTGGATATAAATGTACAGAATAGGCGTAGATGGTCCTTTGCAGTCAAGGTCGCGTATGGGCAGTGGACAGAGTATCCATTCCTTCCTCGTTAGAGCCCTTGTTGGAGAGAAAATTTTAACAAAGTTCGCCTGACGATTGGGTTTCTTTCCAACACCCTCCTGCCTTGCCTCACTGCACATTGTCTGGATATCATAGCACTGGGTGTTTAAAACGAGACTACCAAATTCTCAAATTCAATCTACCAGGGGAACCTAAATAGGTGTGTGAACTTGTGTAATCATGGTGTAATCATGCCAGAGCCCCCCCCCCCCCCCCCGTATCTGCTGTCCTTTTCCCAAGTAAGGCGTCTTGTCTTCACTCTCGTTGTGCTGACGGTCAATGGTGAGACGGACGGATTGATCCGCCGACGCTGTTGGGGCCACGTGCGAGGCTTTGTTTGATGAGAAGAGAATAACCCTCCATTCCTATTGCGCCTAACTTCTTCGCGTATGATTTTATTTTGGAAGGAAACTTGTAAATCCGCCAACGCCACGCTATGCAGTACCTAATGGTACAAAAGAGATGGAAAAGGGAACGAGAAATGAAGAAGCCAGAGCTGGAGCGGGGGAGGAAGTCGACGCAGTCCTCATACGCCAGCAAAGGTCTTGCCCACGATCTGGCTCCCCGTAGAAGGAGACTGATCGGATCTGGCCCCCTCCTCCTCGCTCAGCATCCGACTCCAGAGCCTTAGCTCGTCGACGCTGACGTTCCTCCGCTCGAGCTCCCACTTGACGCTCCCCGGCAACAGCTGCGTCTGCGCCCCCGAGGAGCCGCCGCCGGCGGCTATCAGCGGCACGTCCGTGCCCTTGCCGTTGTTCTTGGTCAGCATGCCGAAGCGCAGGCCAACCTCGGTCATGGTGACCAGAATGGAGATGATGATGAGGACGATGACTATCCAGGTGATGTAGCTCATCTTGGCGTCGGCGACCGAGTCGGCCAGAATCTCGGCGAGGTCCAGGAAGACGCGGCAGCGCTCGTTGAGGACCTTGATGCGCGGGTCGATCTCGAGGTACTCGCGGATAGCGACGTAGAGCGGGTGCAGCGTCGGCTCCGAGTCCCAGAAGAAGTTGGGGACGTCGAGGATGTTGGAGGCTGGGCAAGATGGGTTAGCACACCTCGGAAGCCGCGTCCAAATAGACTTGCCGTGCCAGGGCATGTGGGAAGGAGGGCAAACCTACAGAGGTTGATATCGACACGGCTCTTGAACAGCCGGCCCAGGATCTTGAAAATCTCTACCCTCGTCATTTTGAGCTCGCCCGTGAGGGCCAACCGCTTCGGAACATGCTGCGCGTCAAGCATCGTCTCGCTCATGCGTTCCTCGAAGAGACACAGCTTTGTGCTCTGCGCGATGGCATGGCTGATGGTCAGCTTGACCATGTGGTCGCTGCGCGGCAGCAGTGTAATCATGTCGTTGAAGATGCGCGGCCGCTTCACGTCGTGGCTGTACTCGAAGTGGAACTCCTCCGTCTCGAAGTCATCCTCGTCGAGCGGGCGCGTGAGCAGCGAGAGGCCATTCTCGTTCTGCGCGAACGTCAAGTCCGCAAGGATGTCCTTCTCCTGGTGCTCGGTGAAGTTCCAGAACACGACGACGCCGTAGGAGAAGAGGAACATCTCGGCGAACGACTTGGCGTCCGGGATCCGCGCCATGGGCGACATGTTGGGGTCCTCGGGGGACTGCTCGCGGTGGTGGCGCGGCGAGGATGACCCGTCCCCGTAGACGCTGTTGCCGTTCATGGGGCTACCATTGATGGGGCTTTCGGCGTCGACGACGTCCTCGAAATAGCCCTCGTGGTAGTCGCGCTGCTCACTCCGCTCAATCTCCATGTCCAGGACCGTCTTGCCGCTTCCCGGCGTCTTGACGATGGGCCGGCTGCGGAGGCGGTAGCCCTCGGTGCCGTTCAGGAGAGGCAAAGAGTAGACCACGTAAAGGCAGTCGTCGTAGAGCTTCGTCTTGGCGTCGTGCTTGGTCCGGAAGAATTCGGCGGCCGACTTCATCTTGTACGACTGCGCCGTGCAGTACGCCGTCAACCGCGCCAGCTTCTCTTTACGCTGGACCTTGGACAGGCGCTCGGCGTAACTCTTGCCACGGATGCCGCCTCTCTTGCGGAGCACATCGAGCTCTTCGTCGCGTAGTGGGCGGTTCTCCTCGGCCTCAATCTCGCGCGCTATCCTGCTGGCGGGCTCGTCGAGGTCCTCGTCGGATCCGGGTTTCTCATCCGTCTCAGGAAGCAACACGAGCTTCTCGCTAATTTTTGTCGTGCGCGAAGGCATGCTCTGCTGCCCCGTCTTCGACTGCAGGTTCGGCAGGCCTGCGCCGCCGCGTCGAGCGCTCGCGGGGCCACCTCCGGGACGTTGGGAGGGGGGGGCGACGCGGGGCTGACCCGAGGGGATGTCGGAGGCGTACTGCAACACATTGTCGACAGAGATGAAGCGCATGGCCGGCCGGCCCTGGGCACCTCCTATGCCGGTACTCTGCCGCTGGAGAGAACCTCTCTGCGGAGGACGTTCTCGCGAGTCGGTCACCTACAGAAGGCATGCATTAGTGTCTTTACGGATGACTGGATGGCCGGGCAGGGGAACGGGAGGTTGTGACGGACCAGCACGGATGGACCTCGCTTCGCGGACGCCATTGTTGCGGATGTTTGGAGGCTGTCGGTCGAGTTCGTGGGTCGGAAATAGATTGTCTCTATCGCGCAACAGATTCAACGAGCATCACGCAGATTTTTCCTCTTTTGTTGGATCAAACTGATAACCGAGGTTTCGATGATCAGTCCATGTCGGGGATCTGAAGTAGTGCGAACATTGACATGACGGAAGCAGTCAGGAAAGTTCAGTGCTTGTGTACCGCCACAGTTCCCACTTGTGGCTGGTGCAGAAGGCATACGTCATGTGCTGCCGTAATGCTTGGCTTTCATCTAGGCTGAGATGCATCTATGTCAAGGTATTTCTTTACATCTAAAAGTATTTTGGTATACACTACTAACAGACATGTAATTATACACGCGTCCAAAATTTCAGTTGACTTTTACGAAAACTACGATGCTAATGTTTCAATAAGTACATGTCGTTGGATTCAAATCGTGTTATAACGTGTAGAGTTGATGTTTGCTCAATTTGGTTTCAATGATGCATTCCCCCTTTCTCATTCAATATACAGGCAGCACTCAACATGTGAAATTGCATTCACAGAAAGTGTGGTACATGATGTGGCAAGGGTCTTGACTCAACCCCCGACCAGCGCTCAAGTTGGAGTTTTCCGCAGGCTGGCTGCCAGCAAACTGTTTGCGGCAGATTGCTCACAAGGGATACTCTGTTGCCATGACTTGACGCTCCATGAGAGCTGACATGTTGGGGTTGTTTAGGCTGTCAGCAGGGATATGATCCCCAGACCTCCGCACAAGCTGGGCATGAGGCAATATCGCTTGACTTCCGTGATGATTAAGCTCTGACAAGGTTGGACTAAACAGAAGGCGACGTTGCAATGCAGTCTCGATAACGGATGCTTCACACATGGCTGACAGGCGCATCCCGTGGTCCCTGTATAATCTCGCCACAATTAGCGGAAACGATCGAAAAGTAGAGCACCTGATTTAGAAGTTCTACCAGGAAGACTGGCGCCAAACTGGCGCAGGACATCAAGATGAATGCCACTCCTCGGGCAAGCGATGTATCTGAAAGAAATCTTAATAACTCAATTGTCGTCATCGTACGCAATGGCCTGCCCCAACGCCTAACCAGCTTGGTATCTTGCCTGTAATCACAAGGAAACATAAATGCCATACCATACCCTTCGCGGTGGGCAAGAGGTCATCACTAATAGCCTGTCCGTTCGAGTTCCCCTCCCAGGCCTGTCGCTTTCTCCCCTTGATGCGATCGTCCACTCCCCAGTGAGGAGTTTTGAGATGGCTAGTGATGTTGATGGCCAAATATGAGAAAGCTTCGCCTCTCATCGGTACTGAGGTGGCGCCTGACCCCATCCTTGAGGAGGCTGTCCATGGACGGGCTGAGGGTACATCGGGCTGCCGCCCTTCATCGACGTGACATCAGGGCGGTTCTCAAGCGGCTGGGCGAAGTTGCAGATGTGGCAGACAACATCGGTGTAGCCCTTGAAAGACAAGGGGATGACAGGCTGCGGGATCAGTTAGTCTCGGATGTCCTTTCTTGGACTTGAAACTTCTCATAGGTCTCATCAAGGTCGCGATGCGAAGATAAGATGCCAGATGAAGGTGGCGGGTGGAATGACGGAGGGCTTTGAGTCGGCCGACAAGAAACCGAACATCAAGCTCAAAGGGGCGTAGACGGCAAGAAATAGGCAGGCACAAAGTAGTGAACAGAATGAAGAAAAGGTAGAGGGGACTCACAATCCAGCAAAATGTGAACCACGGATGGCTCTTGATGACGTGGCCAGCCATGTTGCCGCAGTTGTAGCACTGGCAGACCATGCCCTCGTAACCCTCGACGGGCTTGCGAAAGGTGTGTTCGCCGCACACGAAGAAGAAGAACATGGTGGGCGGGTTCAGTGGTTACGATAGATCAGACCAGATCAGATAGATATATGCACGCTCAGTCGCTGTCGCTGCTGCAGGTGCGAGGGAAGGAGCGGTAGCGAGCAGTGGGTGATGAATGGCAGTGGAACACCCGGGGGACCGGTCGGATGACGGCGGTAAGACTTCCCTCCTTCTGCTGTTTAGCGCTGCACTAGTGTGAGAGGGCCGACTGCTGGTTTCGGAACTGAGATGTCTGATATGACGAGAAACACCGCAGTGATGGCAGCCGAGACGTCGTCCCAGGGAGTTGAAGGAACGAAAGGGACGAGGAGACAGACGGTGATACGAGAGGAACGGTTGAGGTCGGCGGAGGCGCGGGTGACCTCGAACTTGGAGGCGGGCTAAGCTACCTTAATGCAGAATTAGCTCGACCTACTCCGTATATCCGTACCGTACCGAGAGGGAAGAATTCCATATGCTTGCTGACTGGCCCTTAGACGTTTAGAGGGTGGCCCAAGCTTTTGCAATGGATCGGTTCGACTGCTAAGTGGCGGATGGTTCTTATTTTTGGAGAAAGAGGGATGAATTCTGTTTTTGTGCCCTTTTTTAATTGATGGCGCCAGTGGTGATTGGTGTGCTCGTCTTGCGTGTCTTCCGAGGCGGTGCATCCTTGGCGGTCCAGAAACCTCGAGTGCTTGTCCTCACCACCAACATTCATTCACACCAGGATGGCTTTCTCCGGAGATGACTTGGCAAACCAGAGGAACAATCGAGAAACATGGGGGTGGAAGGGAGACTTGTGACCCTGTCTGATGCCTTGGCGATCGGGACTTGCATTCCTGCCCTCTATCAATGCTGCGAGTTCGGGCGAGGTTTCGAGGACAGGCTGTCAAGCGCCATCATGCTTCATGCTCGCTTCCCGCCGCGGTTCCCTCGGCCGCTTATTAGTCATCGCAATGTCGCCTCGGCTGCGAACCCGTGGATGGATGCGCCACCCCGTCTGAAATGTGACTTCTATCGGAACCGGAGACGACCCTTTTGGCTTCTCACAGGCTAGGTACCTCTTTAACTTTGGGCGTGTCTTGCTCTACGAACGCCGTGGCTCAAGGCTGAAAGTTGACTGTCAACTTTACCAAAACCTTCAGGCGTGATCTAAGGAGTGAAAGGTGATAATAATTGTGCTTGTTTCTTCCAAATGCTAAACTATACCTGTCTTGGCCTAAAGTATGCTGTGCTGACATAATTCTGTGTCTAAGCTTAACCTTTACTATCCCTTAGGTAGGTTGTTCCTCCCTTTAGGCTACCTTAGAGGGAAAAGTGGCCTAACCTAGGTTACTCTCTATCTCTCCTAAGAACCCTAACGTGTCCTTATAGTATTATTAATATTCCCTTTTTTACTATATCTTATTCCTTTAGTCCTTATTTTATTAATATTTCCTCTACCCTTATAGCCTTATTTATTTCCTCTCTTATTATTTCTAAATTTAGCGTTATTAAGTGTCCTATATCTTAGAATTAGATATCTCTAATTACGTTTATAGTATCCTCTTTTAGTCTAAGTTTAGACACCTCTAGTTACTTTAGGCGCTTTATATATAGCTTTAGATTATTTAAGTAAACCTTTCTTATACGCACTTAGTTATTAGGCTTTATAATCTAGTAAGAGACCTCTAACTTTAGTCTTATAACTATTTATAGTCTGCTTTATAATACTTTAAACTTTAACTTAGCTACTTTATCTTTATTCTCTTTTTCTTATACTAAGTTACTAGTCTTAAACGTCCTCTTAATTACCTATTCTATATTTATTTTATTAGCTTAAGATATTAATATATTTATTATTAGTTTATATAGGTTATCTTATTTATCTATATTTTTTAATACTATCTAACTTAGTTCTTAGGATATATAAGTATACTTATCTTCTAGAAGTGTTACTTCTTAATATCTATTATTAGCTTAATATTATTCTAGGTTTTCTAGACCCTTAATCCCTAGGTTTAGTCTAATTATATTAAAGCTAAATATTACCTTAGCTAGACTTATTAAAATTACTTCTAAAAACCTTAAGTTTCTCTATTTTAATATATTTAAAATCTTATAGTACTAGCGTCTTTAGTTTTCTATTATTTAATTATATACCTATTTTATTAGTTATATCTTTACTAGGCGTACTATTCTTTCTACCTATCCTATAGAGTGTAAATATAATATAGGTCTATATATTAGTTATATACTATAAAATTTAGTAACTACTTTAAATAAGGCGTTCTTAAAATAAGATCTATTATTATAGTAAATAGCGTCTAGCTACCTAAAAATACTTAATAGGGTTAAGGACTAGACGTTATATACTATTTACACTATTACTTCTAATACTAAAGATAAAGTAAAAAACTTAGTAAAGTAATTAACGTTAAGTAGTATATATTTAGATCTATTAGCTACTATTAGGGTTATTTCTCTTATAAAGTCTATTACTACTATTATCTATAGTTATAGTACTAATATTTTCCTTAGGGTTAAAAAAGGCACTTTTAGTTTGTATACTATATACGTCTTATATAATTATATATATATATTAATATTTTATATTCTTTTTAGCTAGAACTATCTTCCTCTTAAATAGTATAAGGTTATTATCTTTCTAAAGTGTCTTATCTAGTTATAAGTAGAGTATAGTGCTAATAGCACCTTTATTTTTAATATATATATTACTAGGCTTAAGTCTGTTTCTATCTTTAATAAAGTCTAGTTTTATATCTAGTACTATATTACTTTTACTTACACTAGTTATTATTTATCTCTTAATAGTCCCTCTAAGGCTATAGGTCTGTTTACTAGATATCTAATAATATCCTTATACTATAGTTCTAGACCTTATACCTTAAGTAGCTCTATTATAATTACTTATCTTTATTAACTTATAATATTACTTAGTTCTATATTTATAATAATCCTCTTATTTTATATAGTTACTTTTCTATTTATATTAAGTATGCCTATTACTACTACTAGGGTGTTTAAAAAGTAGTCTATCCTAGACTATATATCCTCTTCCCCCTAAATAATAAGTCTGTCTTTAATAGTAGCCTTATACGCTATCCTAGTTTTTATTATTAGTAGTTTGTCTTATATTCTAAGGTGTAGTTAGCTTAAACTATCTATAACCTTAATAACCTTTATAGTATTAAGTCTATAAATATAGATAACGTTATATTTTATTATCTATTTAATTTATCTTACTAGCTTACTATATATCTCTTTATAGTTTTTTATACTTTATTTAATTAATTTATAGTTAGTATAAACTATAACTAGGTAAAGGCTAGTGTTAGTAAGCTACCTATATTCTACTAAAGCCTAAATAATTATAAGTGTCTCCTTTTTAGGAATAAAGTATCTTTTCTCCTAGTTAGAAAATTAAAAGCTTATTTATATAATAATAACTATATCCCTAAAGTTCTTATTTATTATTAAGGTGCTAATTAAAGTGTCTTCTAGTAACTATATTAAGACTACTTTAGTTATGTAGTTACTTAAATCTATTATAAGATAGAATTAGGCTCTTAAACTTATACTATAAGTAGCGTTATTCTAGATAGTGTTATATATCTTGTTTAGGGCGTTAGCTTATTTTACTCCTTATTTTAGGTTTTTAATCTAGACTTATTCCTACTAGACGCTTTTCTTCTCTAACTAAGTTGTTTTATATTCTTCTTAAAAAAAAGCTTACTTAATAGTCTGTTCTAGGTTAGCTCTTCTTAGGATATGTTTTTATATAAAAGGTGTTAAATATAGTAGTCCTTAGACTTCTTCTTATATTTTAGGTAGTATTTCCCTAAATTATATCTTTTAAACTATAAACTTATTTTAGTGTTTTAGTAATAGCTTTACTTTTTTATTACGTATTTTAAAACTAACTAAGTTTATATAGTTATTAAAGAGAAATATCTTACTCCTACTAAGTCTAATTAGGGCCTATAAGATTCTTAGGAAGTAGTAGTATTAAAGGAAATAGAAGTGTTCCTTATATATCTTACTAGTAATATTATAGTTATCTATAAAGATAAAAAGTAAGGACTTTAAGTAAGAGAGGTATCTTATAATAAAGGGGATATACTTTAAATTAATATTATAATATCTAAAGATATAGTTACTAAATCTTATATATATAGATAGTGCTCCCTTTAGTCCTTAAGCTATACTATTATATTCCTATATACCTTTAGGGCCTATAAATATAACTTTATATCTGTCTATAGGTCTTATAGGAATTCCTTAGAATCTATTTAAGGCGTCTAACTAGGAGTATATATAGGGTCTCTTATAGAAGATAAAGTTAATATTAGTCTCTATATTATAATATAGGTATACTAGTTTAACTAAGGACCTATTTACTAGTCTAAAATTATATATAATACGTAAGGTCTTTAGCTTATTTAGTTTTACTTAGAATAATATATTTACTACCTATAGAGATTATCTATCTGCTTAGAAGATAATATTTATACTCTTTATCTCTAGGAATACTATAGCTATAAACTCTCTCTCTTTTTTACTATACCTTAGTTATTTCTTTATCTTTAGTTATACTCCTAGTAATAGGTCTACTATATGTTCTATAAGTATAGTCTAACGTATATTTACTAGTGTCTTAATAAAGTATTCTTAATAGGTATAATAAAGTCTTTATATATCTGCCCTCTATTCTTCTGTTTTTACTATATTCCTTATAGTTATCTATAAGTCCTAAAACTATAAGTCCACCTTATGTTATAGAGCGTCTAATAATTCTTAAAAAGTAGGTATTTTTAAGTTTTCTAAGGGGTAGGCCTTAAAGTCTAGATTTTCTATATAAATAGATAGTAGTCTAGATATTTCTAGTTTCTTAAAACCTAGAGCCCTCTTAGTTTCTATGCTAGGCCTTTCTTAGTTAATTTTACCTTCTCTACTAGTTACTAAGAGAAGTATTTAGGCTAAAGATTTTTTATCTAAGGCTTCCTAATTATTCTTATCTATATTATCCTTACTATCCTTTAAGTTACCCTTTATTAAAGTGTCCTCTAGTTTGTTAGAAGATAGGTCCCTATTAAAGTCTATTATTACTATCTAGATGTAGTTTTAGGGGTCTAAGGTTCCTTAAGTTTATATTATTATTTATCTTTATTTATCTAGCTAACTTTAGATTATAGTTATAAGGGATCCTCTAGTTATTAGCTCTAAGTAAGTAGGAATATTTATTATGTTTTCTATATCTTTATATATATCTTAGCTATATCTTTTATTAACGCTATAGTATCCTTTTGTCCTTATAGTCTCTTTATACTAGGTGTCTATTAATAAAGGCACTACCTCCCCCTTAGGATATCTATCTAGAGGAGCGTTAGGTTAAGGTTTTAACTTTAGTTATCCCTAGGGGTCCCCTTCTAAGTTACGTCCTAGCGTCTCTATCTATATATTCCTAGTAGGCCT